CCATTGTCTTAGCGCTTCACTACTTCGTCAAACTGTATTGTAGCTACACACCCAATACATTTTGAACAGTCCCGAAGTTCTCTCAAGACGTTAGAGCATCCACCAAAGATAGTAGCATGAGAGAGTCCGCAATCCGAATTGATTCTCCGCTCCAACCTGTCACGCGTCACGCTTGAAGCTTGAGCATTCTTTGATACCAGTGATTGCATTGTCAATAACAACCACAACTTTGCTTATTCTCACTGGAAAAATGCTCAGAAGGTAAGGGTAGGTATAAAGTGTATGTGAAAAAAACTGAAATTTTTGTGTCAGAAACTGTCTTCTGACTATTCTATGTGAAGCAGGTGACTTTGAGTGATGGATTTGAAGCTGTACATGTTCAAGCTTATACTTATTTTTTTATAAAAAAATACAATGCTATGAATTTGTGTTGTTGCGTGAGCTATGAATCGTTCTGCAACTCTCTACAATTTTGCAACTCTGGCCCAACGATAGTACAATCCAACGGATGAGCATTATGTTACAACTGCGTGGGATAAGATGTCAATGTGATGTGAGACACAAACAAAGCAAAAGCAGATAGACGTCAAAATGAAAAGGTATATGACTAATCAACGCGATTCTGCCTTGGGAGGCCATATCCAAGTTTGCACTGCATCTATAGCTTCAGAAGAATCATCTCGAGGGATCCTATGAGAGGCATCAGCAGAGGTCATGCAGAAGCGTGCAAGATGGCATTACTTGAGTTTAGGCTCCCACCGTCCGTCGTGTCTCTCGAAGTAGCGAGGAACAAATTTCTCGCCGCTCTCCTCTCGTTTGCGGCGCAATTCTCGTTGGGCATCTTCCACTGCGCTCTTGGCTTCTGTGGCACGTTCCATATTCCTCTCCTCGATAGCCTGCGTAAGGTCTTTCCATAGGCTGTAGATCCGAGTACCATCATCAGCACATATCCAATCAGTCAATTAAGGAACGTTCACCGTCGTGATTCGTATGGTTCTTGTTGTTCTATTTCCGGTACATATTTCGGTGCTATGTTTTGTCCATCTTTCGCAGCATCAAATAGTACGCGTTTGCTCCCACTCTGAAATTAAATCAGGAAGCTGCTACTTAGAAGACAGTTCTTTGGCAGACCTTGATACTCTTAAATTCCATGACATGACTCCACCTCCCTGACACCTCGCCTGTGTCTGAGTTTCCTCGACGTACACGTCCGGCTATTGCGTTATATGTCCCAGAGAAGAAGCCCTGAGATAGTGTTAGACAACAATCATCAGAAAGCCGCGCAGTGACCTTTGTTTTGAACTCTAAATCACAGAAGAGTCTATTCTTCTGGTTCTTCACTATACACGTGTCGCCTAGCTCCAGTACCATCTTGCCGAATAGAATCCCCCTTGCATACATATTAGGCATCGTTACTACGTACTCTGCCATGCACAGTCAGTAACGGCATGTCTGCGCATAATAGTTTGGAACTACACACCGCCATCATCTGGAACGCCCATAAGTGTGATTCTGTTCTCACCCTCCATGGTGGTGGAGACGCTATTACCAAGGAATTTAGATTTGGGTCTGAGCTCTCCGACGATGCAGACGCGATTTGCAGGGGAAATGTAGAAGAATGCGGAGATAGGTGGGTGGTGTGACACTGAAGAATGGACTGGTGAGCACCAGCATGCATTCGTCGGCTGCACGAGCGACGTACCTTGCTCAGCGACAAAGAAACCTTGTGTACCATTCGGGTAGTCATATCTACAACGAAAGAACTCTCCAAGAACGGGATTGTATCTGCGCTCGCTAACCAAGGGCTGCTGATGCAAAATGGACGGAGACTTACGGTTTCTTTACGCCCTTGGGCTTGATATGCCAACCAGCGAGGTAATACTGAAGGATGCGAGTAAATCGCTCTTCTGGATCGTCGCAATTCTCAGCACTGGGCAGGGGGTTATGCCTGAGATCGGGAAAGGTAACAGTGTACTCACCCGAATATGAGATCCGGGTGCGACATGAAGTCCGTGATGCGCTCGAGCATACTTCGGGGCTCAAGCACAAACGTAGGAAAGGTCACTTTAGACAGGTCCATCCCAACTCTTGTCTAGGTGTCAGAACCGAAGTCTTGACACGTACTAGCGCACAGCACGCACCTGAGCTGGGATATCAGCGAAAGAATGACGGATCCCTCATTCTCGTCTCTACAAGTAGAATCAGTATCGGAGACGATCATGGGTATATGTAAGAATGAGTGAGTAAAAGAAGAATGACGGACAGGATTGAAGTATCGTCAGGTTCTGTGTCTTCTGGCGCCCTATCATCCACGGAGAGACCGCGTGCCCTCTTGATATGGGATCCAGCCTGGCTGAAAAGGCCCATCATGGTCGATTGGCACGAAAGATTAGACGCTGACTGAGAACGATTTTACTATGGGCCTTGCTGTGTCCCTGATTTGCTGCGTTTGGCTCGGAGATGATGGCCTGGCCGCAAAAACGATGATGATGAAACACGCGTCACAATTCAGAATTTGTTGCCGAAGTGACTAGTGGAGTTGCCGCTCGCTGCTTATCAGATTTGTCAAAGCTCGGAAATCGACATGCACAGTTGCCTTGCATTATGTAAAAAACTAGATGGACATTCCCATGAAAAGCACCCAGTTGCCCTTCCCAGCACTACTAAAACACTATCTTCGTAGGCGCAGCAGTTATATCATCTCGGAAGAAAGCCCCATATGCCGCATGCCCCTTCTTCTTGATTGTCATCGGGAACTGTTTCAGATTGTCTGCCTGCGCATCAAACCCGCCTTCACGAAGTACGCGTGCAAGCTCGCCGGCCAATGCTCGCTCGTGATTTTCTCCGGTGAAAAAGGTAATAGATTTACCAGAGCGTCCACCACGACCTGAGTGGGTTGGGCTCGTTAGACTCTGCAGAATCGATTGAATCGATACGTACCCGTACGTCCGATTCGGTGGATGTAATCTTCAAGTGTCAACGGAAAGGTGTAATTTATCACGGCTCCAACGTTGGGAATATCTAGCCCCCGCGCAGCAACATCCGTGGCCACCAGTAAACCCGTTTCCCCGGTCTTGAATTTTTCGAGAGCGTCCATGCGTGCAGTTTGTGACATGTCTCCATGTAATGCACCGACGTCGTAACCTGCGCGCCTCAGCGATTGTTCAATGCGTGTTGCCTCTTTCTTGTAGAGCGCAAAAATCAGGATGCGCGCCTCATCAGAGCCTTTGCGTGATGTTTTTTTATGTGACAAATCTGCGAGGCGTTTAAGAAGCCGATTGCTGCCGAATAATGAGAAAAGATTAACAGAAAGACTGAGAGAGACAGACTCTTTTTCACGGGGGTCATTAAATACTTCAACAACTTGCTCAACGCGACTGTTCGCTGTGAGATCATCGCTTCCAACGGTGACTCGAACAGGATTGTGCTGGAAAGAACTTGCCAACCGACGAACTGCTTCAGGCCACGTTGCACTGACTGGAATTGGAATCAATAATAAGTGGAAGCACGAAATAGAATGGAGGAAGTGCTTACACATCATGGTCTGGCGCCCCTCCCCTTGAATAGTGTATGAAATAATTTTCGTGATATCATTCTCGAATCCCTTATCCAACATTCGATCAGCCTCATCTAGCACGAGATAATTCACTCTGCACAATTCCCGAGCAATAATTGAGATGTCGATGTCCCGTTGATGAATAACAAGCTCACCTGCTGAGGTCGCAGACACCATCGTTAACTAAGTCGATTATGCGTCCGGGCGTTCCTACAACAATTCTGGTGATCTTCCCATCCGTATTTCCATTTGCCAGTGCTTTGACCTGTGGGTCCTTCGGGACACCACCGAACACTGCGACACTAGCAATACCAAATGGTGCGCCCAGCGCAGAGAGTGCGTCATGAGTCTGGATCGCAAGCTCGCGTGTCGGGGCGACGACAAGTACGGAGATCGTGCTTTCTTTCTTCTTAGGCTTTTTGGGCGAAGCTATGAGCTGTGCGAGGGCAGGTATTCCAAATGCCAGAGTCTTCCCGCTGTATCCAGACATAAGCATTAATGTGCAATGATATGCAAAACTGCAAATTCTACCTCCCCGTCTCCGCAATACCTACTACGTCCTTCCCTTTGAGCGCAGGCGGCCATGTACACGCCTGTATTGGAGTAGGCTCATTGAAGCCAGTAAATGCGCCACGTAGGCCATCCGGTATATTGAGCTGGTCGAACGATATTACAGGTACGACGGCATCACTGTTTGTCTGAGTACTGATGGTGATATTGTGCTTTTCAAGAAAGGCTTCCCCTTCGGCAGGAGAACATAGTTTTGTTGAGGGCTGTGAGGAAGGGGTAGCTAACGATGGTTGTTGGGAAGTCATTGTAGCGTCGGCAGATGGGGTTTCGGCTTCGCGATCGTACTTTTTCTTTTTGTGCTTCTTGGAGGGGCTAGGTTTGTCCGCTGAATCTATTTCTTGCGCGCCATCACGCTTGCGCTTTTTGAGCTTTTTCGAAGTTCTTTCACCATCTAGTGTTAGGTATGTAAGGACGGAGGAACGCCTGAGTGTACATTGATCCTGATTGATCTCACCAGGAATTGAATCTGCATCACCTGAGGCTTCAGTGATTTTGTGTTTCTTTTTCTTATCCTTGGGCTCTGGGTGACATTACTTCATAAATTCGAGAAGATGAAAAAGTATACTAACCAGATGGCACATCAACAGCAATCTCAATCGCAGACTCCTCGACGTTAGAAACAGACTTCTTCTTGTGTTCTTTGTCCTTCTTTTCAGCTGGCTTGTCGTGACCAGTCAGGAGGGGTACAGGTTGTAATGAACTATGCAGACCTCTGGGCTCGTCGCTGGCAGGATCCGCAGACTTTTTAGCCTTTTTCTGCTTCTTGGACCTTTTGAGCTCTTCCTGGGGTATCATATCCTTGGACATAGTCCTGTCTAGATCTATGGAAGTAAATGAAGAGAGCTGGTTATTTTGTGTCCCACGCTTGACTATCGAGAACTTCAACTCAAGGCTAGCAGTGTACTACTGACACCCATCACTTACTCTCCATTTCTTGCGCTTTTACCGCGGTGTTCACGAGAATTAGGTTTGTGCTCACTGCAGGCCTTTCCAGCTGGGAAGTTTCCATAGCTCTCATTCCATCCTGGCAAACCCAGCATGGCATAATTATTACTTGCCAAAGTCACGAAGTTGCGGCGGCTTTCCGACAGATGGCCGTTTCATAATGGGCATTTAGTGCACTGAGAAGGGTAATGTTCATGTCGTATTTCCCCTACACAAGACAGGAAGAAGGCGTTCCTTCGTTCGCATCTCAAGCCACGACGAGCAAATTCCCTGATGATCCTTCGCCGAAGTCAATAACACGTGATAGAACGCGTCGCGTGACATGTGGAATTCGACAGGCGGGCGTATAAGTCTCACTCGAGCTCAATGTTCCATATGTCAACCATATGTATACTCTTGGCCAGATATATTCACTCTGGGCGAGCATATCCGTCATGTATTTCAGTAAGTTTCGCTTGTACTTTATGTGCTACGTATAATTCCGCTAGTCATAGGCTATGTACACAGTACACTGGTTGCCAGTTTGATACATACCACGAATATCAACGCTTTTCAGCCTCAAATACTTGCTCTCTCGCCGCTGACCCGACACTTATCATTTTCACACAAAATTACGATTTGTCACTCTGCTATTGATTTCGAACTCAAGTAGCCCGCAAGACATAGCCGTGGCCTGTGCTAGACCGTGATAACATGGTTGCACTTGAATCACTCCCCTCATTGTACACCGAAAATCCCCTCGCGCTTTGTTACATGATGTCCTAGTGGAAAGAGTTCGTCACCTGCAGAATCTTCGCAAAAATCGGCCAGATAGAGGAAGGAAGACGAGCACAAAGTTCGCTATGCAGCCCACACCGTTTATAACAATATTTCTGACTGCATGGCAGCTCGCCCATCGGGGGGCCACTCGTCAATTGTTTCCTAGACTCTTTGAATCGACGTATGGGAATAGCTGCCAGTGGAACTAGCGAAGCCCTTCCACTAGCTAGAAGATGTAGAGGGGATAGGAAAGAGTTGGAAACTACTCACAATGAGTATTCACGCTTATCATGGGTAGGAATATGCACATTTTCCCGCCGCGACTCAGTCTGGGTATGTTTACTACCAGGCCGACTCATGGATGAAGGCACAACATTTTGCCTCATCATTCACACCGAGCGTGGTCATCGCCTACTTCACGGAGAGTCTGTACCAAAGAAGGATGCTCCCAATTTGGCTGTAAGAAGGTCAATGTCGAGGGTCGGAATCCTTGAATCCTTCCCCTCCAAGAAGATCAAGATCACACGATGCCAACGCCTGAAACCACGTCAATATCCCCGTGCCACCCCACTGCCGAGATACGAATGTCAGAAATTTCTCAATCCAGGTGTTGTGCCGAGTGATAGCAACTTACTGCCATCAATAGATGTGCCTGACTCCATTCTTAAGCGCCATCTGCCTTGCAACTCGAGTCTTGACTCTCTCGGTATGTTCTCAAACGGTCGCCAGGCTCAAAAGAGCATCCGCGTGCTAATCTGCCAGAGACAGGAACAGGAACGTACCGCTCAGTGTCGCTACCTGTCATTGTGAAGAGAATATGCAGACTCAAAGGGACGCAAACATCACAGCTCACCGAATCTGGATCCGCGATGGTAGCTGATGACGAGCCTGAATGAACACCAGTGACCCCGGTGTCACTATGCCTTTGGGGCTGCTACACAGTGCGACCGTCAGAACCTGTCAGTCCAGGCCACGCCTTTGTTGCGATCCCCACGCTTGACATACAAAATTCTATGCCTTCTTTGGCGGGCGAGGATGAAATGTTTGCGGTTACTCAACTGAATGGCGACCTTGGAAGCAACGTTTTTCCCTGATCGCTCTATTGGTGAACAGCATACTTCCATAATTTTTAACACGGGACGCAAGTTCCTACTTGGTATCTCGACTCAGCCTCCTATTCTCCATGCGATTTCTGATCCATGGATGGGCAACATCTCTGCCAATGAACGAGACCCATCTAAACCTCCAATCGCACCTGATATTTCGATCTTTGACGATGTGGAAGTCAAAACCATTTATATTTGCATTCTGACTTGCGAATTATTTTCGGCACGACCCTATTCAATCCCTAATCCCGAGCGACGAACATCGTGGCATATTTTCATCGGACTCTGTGCAACTGCGCACCCGGCGGAGTCGAACTCGATGTGCAGCCGTCACTGCGGACGGGCCTTGGCGGAAACAGGCGATGCCACAATGATAAGGCATTTGTGTTCACCCGAGACGATATCTCCTAGCCGAAAATTCCTTCATCTAAGATGGTCTCTTCCAAGTCAGTCGGATCTCCCGAGAATTTCGATTTTTGTCCATTGAGAGTATTATGTACTCTAGTACCTGCTAGCCTAGGGGCCCTTGTTCCCCATCGTATCTCTGAAGTCGCGAATGCTCTGGTGTGAGGCGTACTCCCACTCCTGAGTATTTTCCAACCACAAAACTATGTTCAAGTCCGCGAGCGAAGGCTATTGCAGTGTCTTTAGCTCCGAGTAACAATCGAACCCACCTGGCACAGGTAAATTGTGATATCACTGCGGGTTGACCTTCACCAAATCGAGGAATGCAATGATGGGGGAGGGGGTTTCCACGACGCTAGTTCCTGCGCAAAGGTTCCTTCGTCTGTACCACTCTGTAGTGAATTACGTTTTCCTGATCTGATGGATTATTTGGAATGCGATCTCTCTATTCTGCCCGACAGCGCTTCCCACCTCATCACAGCCTCGAATGATCAAAACGCCACCCCAACTCCCAAAAAACGGTCACCAGTGGAATAGCTGACCCAATAATAATACTGTTGATGCAGATCACAAAAGGGAGATAGTAGCATTGCAGGTGGATGATACGCCCGCTGCTACACATTCATCTTGCACTTCACACTCGCTCATGTAGGTCAATCGCACCACATGGTGCACAGCGGCGCCTCACAGGAGGTGAGTTCTTGGATTGTGACGGCATATACATATAAACCTACGGCTGACTTCTGACTTCTTGTTTACAGTCTATACTTACCACCAGTTCGCGACGCGCTACTATCTGGGAAGAAGGCTGCAGCTCATGGAGCGTCTCAAAAGTCCTCCTCGTATCAGTGCTAAATGCCTGTTGGAATCTCACAAACCCACTCCTGCGTTTGCTAGGGTTCCTGGTCGTGGCAGGGGCGTTTCTTTGCCCACCGCCCGTTGGAACCTTGTAGATCTGTGACCACTGTACTGCTGTTCTCCACTTCTAGTAATACCGATGCTCACCACGCATGGGAGTGTGGTGCATTACCGACCCTTTTTCACAAATACCTTTCTGGAACTTGCTTAGATTGTGTGATTCTTGGAATTCTTCAGATTGATGCTCTCACCCCAAAGTTGTACAGCAAAGTTGGATTTATAGACCCCACATGCAATTTGTGCCAGAAGTGAAACCGCCTAGTGGCTTAATCTACAAAAAGCAACTCAGGTGTTCAGTCCACCTTGGCCCGTTTCCCGTAGTAATATGTAGCACGACCGACTCCTGCGAACCAGGCAAGTCTTACGAATGCGTTTGTGAGAAAAGCCTGGTGGTGCATTTTCTCTTGACGTACCTTGCGCTCAACAGGAATATCACAAACGTGATATTGCCATGGGTCATGGGATTCCACTTGCCATAGGAGTATTTGAGCTCATCGGGGAGGCCAATAAATGAAGCAGCAATACTGAAACGTGTTATGTGAGGAAAACGCTTGCAGAAACTAAGACTTACTGTGTTACCTACGATGCAGCTCGTTAGACGAGTGGATAAGTATGAGAAACGGAGAGAACCCACGTCTGCCAGCGCAAGCGCAGTAAAACTTGCTCCAAGTATACGCTCCTGAGCCTCCGGATTATTTGGAAGAGCATCTCGGATAGCTCTGAAGACCAGGGACGAGATTAAACCCAGCAGAAGGTAGCCTGAAGATCCGTCAGTTGGGTCAAATGGACAAAGTAGACGTGGAAGACGCACAGTTTCCCAACTGCCAAATAGCCATCGTAGTCCTAGCATCTAGCGGTCCTGAAGCAGCAGTTGCAGTTGGTATCAGCTCATGGTGGAACCAGGAGGCACCCGGAAAGAACCACGCCAAGATGGCAGGTGATACGGTGGACACTGAGCACGACCATGATTCTGTCGTTTGAGTGTGAGCTAGGTAAGTGGAAGGGATACTTACCTGGTTCGATGTACAAGAAAAGAGCCCGGTAAAAACCTGGCAAGGCTGCGAAGTTACGAGCCATATCGTTTACCGCGAAATAATGTCAACGTGATATAAGTTCAATATAGAGCAGAGGGCGTGGGTGCTCCAGTACTGCGCCGGGTTCCACGGCAGCGCCGTTGTGAAGTTCGAGGACATTTTAAGTTCTTCCTACTATGATCGTCCAGACTCCAGCCTGAGAGCCCAAGTTCGTATTGACTGACACTGGCCAGCACTTGCCAGTGAATACTATAACGATAGTTCTAGTGAAATAGTTACGTACTATTCGTGACAGTGTTGAACGAAGGTAACGAGTATAATTAATGTCACATCAGCGCCTACGTACGTACATATAACCTAAGAGCGTAAACTTTTACTCAGGTCGGGTTCCTTGAATCTGATCTTCGTTATTGTATACCTCGGGCATACCGTTTCCTCGTTGTATCGTTCTCAACCTGAATTCCGAGCTGAACATTTAGTACTGTTGAATGGACAGCTCGAATTCATCTGTGTTCGACCTTCCATTGCAGCCAGATAGCGCAAGGACAACATGGAACAGACACGATCCAACACTAGTAGCTGATGACCATGACCATTTCCAGAATGAGCCTCGTGTGTCTGACGCCGCGGCAAGTTCTCGCTCAAAACCGTCTTTCCTGGTGATATCCGGTGGTTCGGGCGGGAACTCCATATGCGCTGCATTCGAAAATGCATGTTATGTTCTTCCTGTCTCTGACGACGGTGGATCGTCCAGTGAGATAATCAGGGTACTCGGTGGACCATCTATCGGTGAATGGCACTTCGCGCTCATCTTGAGAAGTGCTCATGCAGGTATCAAGGTGACATTCGCTCAAGACTTGTCAGATTGATCCCTCCGGCTCCTCTCGGTTCGCCTCTCGATGCCGTGCGCACCCTTTTGTCTCACAGATTACCCTCGAACGTGTCCGAGAATGAAGCACGCGATGAATGGCGGGCCATCATCGAAGGTCAAAGTCCTCTGTGGTCGGGCATCCCGAACGACCGGAAGGAAGTCATCCGAGGTAATGCTGATAATGGATGCCAACTCCGGCATGTTCACGGCTTCAATTAGGTTTCCTGGTATACTTTGAGAACGAAGTCCTCAAGCGAGCACACAAACACTTCTCCTTCCTAAATGGAAGGTTGGTTGCATTTGTTCCTGGCCAGATTGTTGGTACTGACTCAGACTTGCACTCCGCAGCATAGGTAACTACTTCCTGGCAGGTGCGCAGGGCTTCTTCCGGTCCTTGCCGTCCGCAATATTTTTGTTCTCCACAATAACGAATAGCCAGGTGTGTTTGTCATAAAACATATGAATGAATGAGAAGCGAATCCCTGAACACGATTCTAAGGCGAACATTTTGCCAGTCATCGTGACGAATCATATCACTACCATTGCAGTGGAACTGGTTCGTGCCAATACCCAGATCGGGGTTTGTCTAATTTGACATGACTTGTAGGAGGATGGCACGCAGCTGCTGGGTCAATGTGAAATATCGCATCCAGTGGCTCCTGCAAACTCCTCTGACTCAGAGCTGCTGTCATTGGATCCACTATCTCCCATAGATGGATTAGGCGAGATCATACCGCAGAAACGGTTTAACATTATGTACAGTCAACAAGCCAAAGAAGGCGGATATGAGCCTCTCCATTCTCGGATATGCAGTGAGTAACCTTGTTCAGGGTCTGATTCGCGGCACCCATCCTGGATCAGGACTCTACTATATTAATGGGTATGGCCACGAAGTATACCCGAAACCAAACCCTCAATTTATCAAGAACCTATCAACTTCGGAGGTGTTAGTGTACTCATGTGGATCTTTGTGGACGAGGCGAGTGCGCGATCCAGGGACTCCAAACACCTTCCTAACGAAGAATGCTCAGCATCATTCCCTGCCTGGCTCTCCGCGGCGTAGCATCTGCGATCGCGGGATCTCGGCTCCTACGTGTCAAAGCGCTTCTTTGTAGGTCCTGCGGCACTGTCCGGTGACCTAGACTGAGTGCAGTCATCTCCAACAGTGAACGGCAGTAATGATAGAGAAACAGATGGATACACCGCCGTCGACTATATCAGGTGATTCCTTATTTTGCCCTGGATCTTGATCTCAAACAGCGCAGAGCTATCACCTCGGTGTTGAATTCGCAATACCCGCCAAACGGGCTAGGAAACGTTCCATTGTATCCGATCTCAGCGTTCATCACGCATCTTGTATATCTCGAGGGGACAAATGTAGCAGTAGATGTCGAAGCCATGACCGTGAGCCGCTGCCTCATGTTTCTACCCCTGGCCACCATCAGTCTTATCGTTTCCTGTTCCTACAGACACTTGGTATCAAGTGTATTTTGGTCGGAAAAAGATCCGAACGCACGCCCAATTCTGGAATACCTCAATACGATGCTGCCATGGTTCAGCAAGCTGTCGAGGAAATCTTATCAGGACAATAGCTACATTACATAGGATGTCTTCTCACTAAATTATATAGATAGATCGTTACTGCCAGTATACATGAATAACTTTCTCGGTTGTTTCCTGGGACCTGTCTTGTGCCTATGTCAAAATCTAAAAACCGCAACCTCCGACACGTGTGGTCATTGGTTGTCATAAACAAATTGTACGTGGCACGTGAGCGGAAATATGCTATCTATCTATTACCTTGCTATTACCTCACCAATCGACTGCGACCAAGTGCATTGGTTTCGTGCTTTCCCCACACAGATACCCTCTCAAAAATTTTGCATGTCTCCCGCGAGTATCGCAGCTAGCAGTACGCTCAAAGCGGATATTACAGCCTTGCAAAATGGTGATAGGACCCAGGGTGATACTCAGGGGAACCTGGCAAGGGGCCGCAAAAGCCAAATGAAAGGTATGTGGATATGAAACTTCTGTCCTCGTCAGACCTCACCCATTATCTTCTCATTTTGGGTAATCATTACGAATTGATTTCTCAGATGAATCAGTTGTCATGCCTAATCAGCTGCACAGGCAGGATAAAAGTAGGGGCCCATGGGAAGCATGCGGCCGCCACAGCATCACTAGCACATTTGATTCCGAGGACGAGGAATGTTACGAGGACACGATTGATTTCATACGTCGTTCTAAACAAAGATGTCCATCTGTCGATGGACCTCGACCCTATGTAAGCCTGCACGTTGTCACATGGAATCTGGGGTGCTCAGTTAGTCTCAATGCATTGAACGTAGTTAACAGTATTCGGAGATGACCCTCATGGCTCTAATGATCGATCCAGCCCACGGGTCCACTTTCGTTCTCGTGTACGCATAACTGCTGGCATGCGTCGCAGACGGCTTTCTGATGGACTGCCGTCGGGTGCTTCGTCGATATCAGGCTCACCTTGCTCATCTATTTCTGCACCATTGCGCTCTGCGAACGCTGCAAGCTCAAAAGGATGGGGTCCACTAGGTCAGCGAGTAAGCATCCTTGCGTCTCAAAACTATGTTTCAGAGCCATCATCGCCTACTGGTTGGCGGAGAACACGACACAGCAGTAATCCATCAGAACCATATCACAGTCCTGTGAACGAACACACGCCACTCTTACGACCCCCTTGCAGGTACTCGTACGCAAGGGGATATGACGAAGATCGTATGGTGGACGAGGACGTGGAGAGGGAGCGAGGACGTGTGATAGATGACACTTTCGGCAAGTGGCCCGGGAGACTGCTAAACCGCCACGTGAGGAGCCAAGTCACTTGCACAGTATGGATCGCTCACGTTCTTTCAGTGGTGGTGGTGGCAATTTGAATCACTTGTTTGCTGCCTCTGCATAGACTGCTCTGATGACGAATAACATCAAAACACCGCGCGAAATCTCTTGATCTCAAACGCATGTAGGAGATACCACTCAGGCGTGGTGACGTCGTTGGTGACCCTTTGCTTTCGCGCCATCTTGTTCAGACTACATTTGTATATTAGCATCAAGTCATACCCAACATATTCTTGCTGAAAGATATCGGTCTATATACTCTATCGAGATCTTCGTTCTATTATCAATGCGATGGCATCACCATGGTGGGTGGGAGCGTTGTGATAGGAGGAAGCAGCCCAGCGGCGGTCTTGCGTGAGTTTTGAATGAGCAGCTGGTCCATGACGACAATGGCTGCCATGGTCTCAACGATGGGAACAGCACGAGGGACAACACAAGGGTCGTGACGTCCGCGAGCAGCGAGTGTTCCTGGTGTACCATTGTACTGTGCGGTGTGTTGTGCCTGTGAGATGGTTGCAGGTGACTTGAATCCGATCCTGCAGTAGCAAAAAGTTAGTGAAGTACGACCTGAGAGGTGGAAGTCTGTACCTGAAGTAGATGTCTTCGCCATTGGTGATACCTCCTTGGATACCACCACTCCAGTTAGTGGAAGTGCCGAGTTTACCATCTTTTACTATAAACGCGTCATTGTGCTTGCTTCCGGGAACCTCTGTTCCTCTGAAGCCCGAGCCCACCTCGAAAGCTTTCGTGGCAGGAATTGACATCATAGCTTGCGCGAGTTTCGCTTCGAACTTGTCGAAAACTGGCTCTCCGAGACCTGACGGGACATTACGAATGACGCACGTCACTGTCCCACCAATAGAGTCCATAGACTCTTTAGCACGGATGATGCGCTATTGATATTGAGCAATTGGTCACTAATCACGACAGGTATCATGGGGAAGATGATGCTCACCTTCGTCATCCGTTCCGCTGTTGCTAGATGAGGGCAGCGTGTGGGATGCTTGTCGACCTCCTCCCGAGTAATCGTGGCTAGTAACTGTCTAAATTCAGGTGTTAGCGCATCCGCCACGTCATCGTTGTCCTCGTCCCCGTCCACTTCCGCGAGGGACGGAGGGGCTATGTTGGACGGCAGGTGGATCTTGCCGACTGAACTGACAAACGCGACGATTTCAATTCCAAACACCTGTTTCAGGTATTTTTCGGCAATTGCACCCGCTGCAACACGACCTATTGGAAAGAAACTTCATATTAGACTCCGAGGGATGCCACAAATTAGACAATTTTACCGATAGTTTCCCGTGCACTGCTACGTCCGCCACCACTGCTAGCCTTCACACCAAACTTTTCAAGGTAGGTGTAATCTGCGTGACTTGGGCGAGGGTACAAATCCGTCTCAGAATAATCCTTTGGACGTTGATCCTCATTCTTTACGAGGAGGCCTATAGGAGTTCCAAGGGTTACACCTTGCTCGATGCCAGATTGCACGTGCACGAGGTCCTTCTCATCTCGCTATCGCAGACTTCGGGGTGAGAACATGATACACAAATAGAAAAGAACCTTACCGGTGTGGTGAGATTGCTCTGACCTGGTCTTCTGCGACTCAGCTGCACCTGAATGTCTTGTGGAGATAGCTCGAGTCCCTGCAGCATATCGTGAACTTTGATTTATATTACGAGCGGAAATGACTCATACAGGAGGACATCCATCGATGATCGCACCTACAGAGGCGCAATGGCTCTCACCGTAGGTAGTTACGCGGAAAAGGGATCCAAAGGTAGACATAGTTGGTTGAAGACAAGAGGCAAAATGAGAAGCTCAAGGATCGTATGAGATTTCTATTTTCTATTTATCTACGACAGCATATGGCACTAGTGAACCGAACTTGTCGCGATTAACAACGCTTTAGGCTAGTAAGTGTTTCTAAACCGTGCAACAGCCTATCCGGCTGGACTAGTCCTGCAGAGCCTTGGTCTAGAGGTTGTTAATGAAACAGCTCCAGGACTAACCGAAAAGATAAAATGATAAGCGCCGTGGGAACATCAATGAGACTATGAAACTGTTAGCCCAAGTCTGCAGTCACATCGTTTCAAACCAATTTCAAAATATGTCTGCGGTAGCGACATTATCAGCCAACGCCGGTTCAACGTCAGGCTCACGATCACGCCCTCAGGCTCGCAAGAAACCAAATGATGATGCAGCCTACTTTGGAGTTGCAGGGACTAAGAGACAGGCGGCCGACAGGGCAGAGGGAGAGCCACGCGTCAAAAGAAAGAGAGTAGAACACGGCACAACAGTCAGCAGAAGGGCAGATAAGTCTGCGGATAATGACTTAAAGAGCGCAGTGAGAGCATTCTGCGACACCTGCTACCATGACATTGACGTATTCTATGTTAGATTGACTTCAGAAACATGCCAACTGCAGGGCTTTATCGTTACCTCTCTCATTTCAATCTCATTCCACCCGTATACCCATCACCCTTGACCGCAGCAGATCCACCATCTCCCGATTCTCTCCTTGACCCTGTACGACAGAATCTGCGAGGCCTTAGTCCATTCACGATCTCTACTTCTGGCAACAGGCCAAGGAGAGATACAAAAGATCCAAGCCGCCGACGAAGTTCTCGCTTGCTTGAGGAGAATGAGAGCCGCACGCCCATCTTGGCGGACATCGCTGAGATCCAAGCAGTCTTTGCTGCCATTGCAGAGAGACATTTCCAGGACCATGCGGTCAGTGAAATAGACACGCTCGCATCATTCATGGTAAAAACGTCTACTAAGTATGAGTAGAACGTGTCTACTGTGTAATGATTATTTTTACTGTGTTTGATGTTAATATACCCCTCAGCACAAATGCCTCGTACCAGGGAACGGTGTTTTTTTTTTTTGCGAAACTGCCCACCAGATTCAGGTACCGATGACTCTTAGGTGGCTGTCAATTTTTATGTATGTATGATACGTGTCTTGTCTCGTCGACATCGGACAGTCTTCTGCAAATGTCCCCCCTCCTCCCATCCGGACAACCCACCACGTTCATCTTACAGACAAAGCCCATTCTTCGTGGGTGTTGAAGTCCCTAGGCATTTCAAATTCTGGTCTCCTTTGAGGTTTGCGGTATTCGTGGACTCCCTCATCATGATCGAAGGTCCTTCGATCTTATCAGTCACTAGCCGCTCTTGACATGTTGCTGACAAAGCAGTTGCTAAACAACAACACCTGTTGCGATGTCGACATCCCCGATTTGGCAGTGAGTCCGCTACATACTAGTGTATGTTTCACGACGATCCTTTTCAAAGGTTTTCTTCAGAACACTTTCTTCAAAACTTGCTGGAATTTGACATTGCCGAATGGCTGTCGCGATGCTGTCGTGGTCTTTGTATTTGTCGCTCGATACCGCTCGCTGCAGTTCCCGTGGTGACCTTCGAAGTTAGGAGCACACCGTCTGCAGCCTAGAGTTTCATACAGTATAAATGTCAGACCGTTCCCTTCATTATCTTTTTTCTTTTCTTTACCTTCTCTTTAGCAGCCGTGCTGCTTCATTGTGAGTGTCACCTTTGTGCTTTCCTTCGTTTAGGGAGATGATTAACGTCAGAGCAGATTTATAGGACCCTTCCCCTGATCATTCTTTCTCGGCTTCTGCGAGGCCTGTTGTAGTTTTTATTCGAAATGAAGCACTCTTTCCGACTTCTTGTTGTCCTGCCTGCTTTTGCCTCGCTGGTCGTTGGCTTCGCCGTTCCTGAGCCTGGTCTAGTTGTTCGCCAGCAAGGCGGCGGAAATGGTAACGGAAATGGAGGTGGAGGTGGGGGCGGGGGTGGAGGAGGAGGGGGTAGTGGTGGCGATCCCCAGAGCTCCCAGAGTATGCTTTTTTATTGTATTTTTTTTTTGGCGCTATGTCTTCATTTGTGTTTCTTCAGCTCTTGACCCCGCGGTCATCGCGACGGGCTTCGAAAACGACGGTCAAGGTCAACCTACGGCTGGCCAGGTCGCATCACTCACCTCATCGAATAACTTCATCAACTTCTGCTTGACGACCCCCAATGCGCCGATCACCAATGGCCAGCAGATCGCTGGTGGGTCATGCAATCCCGCACCTATGGGTTCCATCCCTTCCACGGCGAACATGCCCTCCGCTAAATTCACCAATCCGAAGAACCTCGACGTCATCCCGCCGAACCAGGCGTTCACCGTCTCTCTTGCCATCCAAGGCATGCAGACGGGGAGTTTCACCAATGCCCAACAAAGCTACTTTTCCGCACCCCAGCAGTTAAACGCACAAGGGCAGATCCAGGGGCACTCCCACATTGTCATCGAGCAGCTGGACTCACTTACGCAGACGACGCCAACAGACCCTACGAAGTTCTCGTTCTTCAAGGGACTGAACGAGCCAGCTAATAACGGCATCCTCACTGCGGACGTGACCAATGGTCTTCCTGAAGGGACATACAAGATCTCGACGATCAACAGTGCGGCAAACCACCAGCCAGTCTTGGTGCCTATTGCACAGCATGGATCTCTTGATGATGCAGTCTACGTGCGTTCATTCCCGCGACACATGTTTGCCATGCACTCATCATCCATGTAGTTTACTGTCAGTAATAATGCTAACGCTAACGGTGCCGCGGCCGGTACTGGAAGTAGTTCTGCAGCGCCTTCGGCAGTTGCGAGTGTAACTGCAACAAGCTCTGCTGCTTCATCCACTGACACCTCCGGCCAAGGTAATGGAAGTGGGGGCAATGGAGGAGGAGACGGAGGTAACGGAGGCAATGGAGGTAATGGAGGAGGCAATGGAGGTAACGGAGGAGGCAATGGAGGTGGAGGTGGAGGGCAAGGAAGCAATGGAGGTAGGGGGCAGGGAGGTAATGGTGGAGGCAGGGGAGGAGGAGGCAATCGCCGCCACTTCCTTTCTCGCAACAACATGCATTAGTGGCGAAGATCATAATCACTTAATAGGTCCGTGCAGGTGCCCTGCGTTCTTTTTGTTTCTTTTAAAAGTTCCTTGGCAAGTTATTTGTTTCGCTGATTGTGCCGGTGCTCTCCCGTGTCCCTCCCTGTATCCACGAGTGCGGTGTTCCTTGTACTGAAGTAGTTGGTCTCGCTGGAACTAGAATCAACTACGTCGAACAATTTGATGAGATGACGGTTGTTGAGATGATTTGTATTTGGAATCAAGAGAGCTATATTGGGCTATCTATTGGGTATGAGTACTCTCCGTAACGTTGGCTCTTCCATTTGGTTATTGGGAAGGAGATTACCTGAGATCACTGCCCCCTCATTCAATTAATATGTAGCGGTTGACACCAGGTTACTCCATATGTCCTGCCATATACCAAGGGTCCTGCCACCGAGCGGCGTCATAGTTTCATCTATCTCATCCTCTATCTCGTCACATTCTAAACCATCCCTAGAATACGCCATCACCGTGAGGCCAACCAGAGCAGTCCGTTGCTCGCTCCCTTGATCAATCGTTCTTGCGTCTGATCCGGCGGGATGATCACTGGCAGTGTGACTGGTCGTGCAGGGGTGTGCCAAGAGGCGCTAAAAAGCCACACAGACCAAGCTTTTTATACGAAATACATATATCATTGTTCTGATGCACCGATGGTTATCTATGAGGAAACAGTCGGCGGAATGAGGGCATCCGCGTAGCTAAATATGCTTTGCATGACACAGATCTAGGCCAGACCCTGGACCTGTCCCTTGGTAGCATCCCGCCATATTCCTGTGGCCCGATGTCATCCGCAAGTATTCGCATCAGCGGATCGTGTGGGACCAAGGGGATCTCGCGCGAAATGGCTGTGTTAAAATATCGGTGAAATGCTGATAAGGCATGGAATCTGAGATCGCGGGCGTGCCTTGAGGTTATGCTGCGGCGCACGCACGGCGAGCATGGAACCTTTTCTCAAAAGGCGAGGCCTGGAATGGCAAAGGCTATTTAGTATTCCCTTATTCGATCATGATACTCATCGGGTACACTCGCTCAACCATCCTGTGATCTATCCGCGTTAATCTTCACGTTGGGTAACCTACGTATCCTATACTGGCATGCAGGTTCGTGCTATTTGCGTGGGTAAGAAGGGTAAGAAGACCATCCAGGTCCCGACACGTATCCCACACGTCGAGGATCCGCACAACCTGCAAGAGAGTTATATGTAGCTCATACGCACGATTCGGCATGCACACTTCACTCGAAGCTCAAAGGGACACTTCCGGCAATTGAGATTAATGGACGAGTGTACATCCTCCGATCGAGATGACTGCGCACTGGAACATGTTCACAGGGGTTTTCTCGAGGCCACGAGAACGCGCGGCGGGAAACATCAAGCCTCGAGGAATGGATCAACATCCATAATCTCCTTCACGACTGTTAGTATCTGCGCATCCAATTTGGAGAGCACCATCGCTTCAATTCATGTCATTTAGATCTCTCAAGACCGACCATGACAAAGTCATTACTGTTGTTAGTTTATGCAAATTCCTAATGAAGGGTATTACGCCCTCGACATAACATGTTGGCCAGATAGATCGATTAATTGGAGGGGCCGACCTGGGAATTTACCCTTGACGATCACCATTTTGGAAACGGGGATCTGCGGTCGGTTTTTCACAATAGAGGTGGGCGTCTTCAATACCACATAGTTCAGGGAGGTGGCCTATCTAGAAACTTACAGCATTGGTTGCATCAGTCCATTTCACGTGTGAGCAAAGCCATGCCAGCCTACCCCATCACCAGCGAAGATTACACGGGCGTAGACAAGACTACAAAAAAGGTGAAAGGGGCTTCCATTGTGAACTTCATATCGCGCCCATCTGGGAGTAGAAGGGCTTTAGGTTCGTGTACCATCCAAATTGGAATCGCCTTCGGAACTTGGTCTCTTCTCCAGAATGCCATCAACAATCCCGAAGTTAAGAGCTTCTTGTGCTAAAAATGTTCTGTGAGAGATATGTCGTCATTATATATGAAACTTACCCGTCATAAAATAATCGCGCTCCAGGGCCCTCTCTGAATGAAAAGTCAATATCGCCACCTAGCAAACGAAGAGGGGCTTACCGAACCGCTCCAACCCCGATGCCTCACTCTCCTCTACTTTGGCGCAATGCCGCTGATAGATACTTGTCAGTAAATGTCTCACGCGCAAAATCTCCTTAGCGTGGATTGCAATGTCAGAAGCTTGCCCAGAGGCGCCTCCAGAAGGCTCTGCAAGCGAGTAATATGAGTTATGTGATGATCGCCGCCGCCACTATCATCACTCACGGTGGATCATTATGCTGGCATTGGGAAGACAATGACGCTTTCCCTTTTCACCTAGACCACAATGACACCTCTTTGAAATGAAAAACTCCAAGGGAACATACCCGCTGCTAATAATAGAGATCCCATGGAGCATGCCTGTCCCACACAATATGTGTGTATGGGCGAAGAGACGTACTGAAAGCAGGCAGGCAGGCGTCAGACGCAAATAATACCATCCCGCGGAGTCTCAAACCTGCATCTTTGAAATGTTGGTTTTGGCTAGCACAGAGACAAAACAGCTCTCGTACTGTATCATATATGGCTAGTCCTGCAGTCACGCTTCCTCCAGGAGAGTTTATGTACAAGTGTATTGGTTTCGAGGAGTCTTCAGCTTCAAGAAACAAGAGTTGCGCAACGGTCAGGGCTGAATCTGTGTCCCGTATCTGGAAGCCAACATCATGAATTAATTCAGCCCGAGGCTTGGTGAGAACGGCAGACGTACAGGTCCATACAACATTATTACACGTTCACGCAATAGGCGAGAGAAAATGTCATACGATCGCTCGCCTCTTCCCTGCACGCATGAGGTGGGGTGCTGAGCTGGAGACAACCGAAGAATGCATGTTAGCTTACTGTCTGTTCGATGACTATGGGCACGAGGTTTGCTGACGGGGATCCCCATGTGCTGGAAATATGGTGTAATGTGCGTGAAGACGGTAGTAGGCCTGCTCTTGTTTGTCTTCTAGTCGTTGCCAGTGCTGCCCTTAACGGAACAGCTCTCATTGACAACATCGAGCTTAATGAACTCGGGGACCGCTGTGGAAATAACTGTCTATCACGTGACGAAAACTTTTAATGAATGTGATTGGCAAGTTTGTAATTGTGTGACACACGCGTCGTTGTCACGCTCGTGTTGCAACTTGCACTCAACCCGTCAGCGCTTCAGCTGCACCGTGGTCTTTCGCACCTTACCTGTTTGACCACGTTTTGTGGCATTCGGTTTACAAGGCGCTCTGAACTACATAGCAGCGGTTTACTTCTGCTAACGCATACATTATGAGCACTCACACGCATACACAGAGATCGACGGAGGCCCCAATGGACTTCCAGTTTACGTCTCGACCCAGCACTAATACGAAGCCAGTCTGGGCTAATAATGGCTCGAATGCACCCCGAAAACGTGCGTTTTCATTATGCTTGAATTCGAATCTTACTAACAAGTTCCAGGTCCATTTGATGACCTTCAACCCACGAGTCCGGCAATTCCTCAGCCACCTCAAACTCCCATATTTGGAGAGAACCGCAACGTGCCATTCATTTTTCAGACTCCAGTACTGCAGACTCCTCCAGTCCACCCGTGGGTGCCTCCCGTGAATTTCTCACCTCAGAAAGCGTTTCCTGTGCAAGAGCTGCGCGATGTGGACATGTCCGAGCTTAGTCCTCCTAAATCCGAGGCTTCTGAGAAAGAAAACGGGAGAGTGGTTGCCACAGGGGCGCTCAGAAGGGTCTTCAACTCGAGGCAGAAGGCTCGTACAAAAAGCCAACACGTTGTATCATTACGTGACGACCTGGGGTACGGCAGCGAGGAAGAAATTGATGGCGATGTAGATCATGTACCCGTGACACAGAACACGTCAAACCACTACACACTCAACATGCCGGCTAACCCAGCGCCACGAACAGATACGCCACAGGTTCTGCTAGGGTGAGGCCATTTGTATTTACTCTCCCCGAGTGTGCTGATCATGCTTCGCAAGATATTTACAGTTCTTCTTTAACCTGTCTTTGGTCATGGTGTTTCTTTATCTCCTAGTGCAGTTCATTCTCACAGTACAACGTGATGTTGCACACCGCATCTCAGAATATTCGATGGGTATGATCTTCATCCCGGTGAATGCGTCTACTAAAATGAATTGTTGGTCAGATATCGTGCAAGAGATCGGCATGTGTGCGACACAATACAGGAACAACCTATGTGAGAGCAACCCTGTGCCTGCCATGATCCAACAATGTGCATCTTGGAAAACATGCATGGATCGCGACCCAAACATGGTTGGCCGTGCTCGAGTAGGTGCAGAACTCATTGCGGATGTCATCAATGGCTTTGTGGAGCCTATTAGCTGGAAAACATTGGCAAGTACACGCGAGTCCCTGCCGATCGGTGCGCTGTACTGATTACATATTTGTGCACAGGCTTTTACGTTGACGTCACTAACTTTCTTGACGGTCTTCGTGAATTCGTTGTTTTCCCTGTATCGCTCACGTCACGAAGCTGGTCATTCTCGGCCAAGTTATCCAGTCGCCCCTCAGTTTCCTCATCATTACCTTCCTTCTGCGCCGGCACCTCGGGGTTCTGGGCATGACGATATCTTCGGAGATGCACCTCGCAGAAGGCGTGGAGAAGACGGGCAGGCGATTAAAGTAAAATGACTGGTTTATTTTCTCTATCATTAAATCTACGGGGGACGGATCATTGCATAGTATAGACCCACATCAAGCATTTTTATTCTTTGTGATGAACGTTCCTCCGATCACGTCTGGACCAAGAGTGGAAATAAGACGCTAAGACTGATTTAGGCAGACGAGCTAGTAGGTTAAATGTACTAGTGAGTTACTCTTCTAGCCGCTTAAACGGATGTGAGTCATGAGTCTAGTAGTCTCCGAACCAGACACAGCAAAAACACCGGTGCGAGCGCTTACTCGTTGGTCCGGTTCTATCCGGAGATCCGGGTATTACAGGAAGCCCAGTAAGTTGGCGTCGTGCAAGCGAGTTCAATGGGCTGTGGGCTGTCAGTGAAGGATCCCAAGGGATAGTTGTCCGAAAGAGATGGTCGCCTCGAATGACGGATGATCGGAACAAGCATGAAGTCCGGGTGCTTCTGTCGTGGCCCATCACCCACGGTGAGCACGCAGGGTGATGATATCACAGCATCCGTCAAGTGTGGACCTGCCATGGGAACAAGGTTTGGCCAATATTCAACCATGATGACTGCGTGTATGAAATAGGCATAATGGATCCGTATATGGTCTGTTTCTGTTTCGTGATTTGATCGCTGATAGCTCGCATGTTTAGCAAGGTTTCAGGGAGATCCAGCTGGAGGATTTCAGGGCTGGTTGAGCATAGAAGCTTTTTATCTAATCCCGGGCACCCGGAGCCCGTTCTCCTGGTAAATATAGAGTTCATTTCGATGTGGGGCACCCTGGTCGATTTTAAGTTGTCTCACTCAGACTGGCATTGGCACTGGCACTCACTGGCACTGGCTGGCTGGCAGTGGAACGTACGGCGCCCCTTGTCAACAATGTCATGAGAATAGAGCATTATGTATATAAAAATCTAATATATTTGATACCTCCGCAATCGATATCTCAAGATCTGAATCTCCTGAGCCCCATTACATTGATTTGGGGCCCGGCCGCTTCTTAGTAGGGAGAATCCGTAAACCAAACCAGGTGATCAAAGGCCACGATCTGACTAATCGCCCCAATGATCTGCGTGCGATTATCTCATACGTCTTGAGAAGGTCCCGCAGAAACAGTCCCCAGCCTGTGGATACTTCCAGTGTTGCGAGGGAGTCTTTCACATCGTTTATGATACAGCTTACGAATACATGCAGTGGATATTTGATATAGCTGGGTCCAAAAATTAATGCAGCCCATCGCGTATGTGTCGCGCAGAAAGACGATACAGTGCCATATCAAAAAGCTATGGAAGTAAGGCAAGGTATTGAGGATGATAGACGCTCCCACCAAGTCCTGACTGATAACGATCAAAGACCACGGTCAGGGATCCGAGTCAGAAGACCTGACCATAGGTTCGTGTTATTTAATAGTTTTTGCTGCGCTTGCTGCGGCTTCTGTGGCCTTCTCTTCGTCTCGTTTCTGCGATCAGGTAGAATGAGCCGAACAATACGAGGGTGGATGTTACAACTGAAGGGTCATGCCTTCTGCTTCGCTCTTAGAATCTCTGCATCACTGCAAGAGAGGTGTAAGCTCATCGTCACTTTCGACGATATGAAAAAGTGACACATACGCTTCTTTGCGCTTTGCCAGCGATGTATTACTTTCCTTTGCTTTGGATTTGTTCAAAGCAGCTTGCTTCTTGGCGGCCTTTGCCCGATCCGTGTCTCGTTGATTTCCTCCTACAATGACAATGCGCATGAGATTATCAATGAGATCAGCAGCACGACATTGCAAAAAAAAATCAGTGACTCACTAGTCATCGCAGTAATTGAATAGCAACTGATCAATATTAATGTACTTGTATCAAGTCTTTGGTGTGGCTTGTAAACAGGAACAAACAAAGCGTGGAAGAATTGTCTATATTTGACTCTTGTTCAGTTCCGAGACACCGCAGGCCACCACGTTCATGATGATCATATCGCAAGCTGTCGCATCTCTCGAGATCTCTGGTTGAGTCAGCGAAAGAGGCAATATCTCATGATGGGCTTTTCATATCTGCCAAATGACCACGGATCTTCCCTAGGCTTCACGCTTGTCTATCTTTGGTGTCTCAGTTACTCACTTCTCCGCCCGAGCTGCCCTATTGACTCGGATTCATCCCGTTTACCGCCACAGCGTTTAGGGCTCGAAGTACGTGTTCGATTAGGAAGGGTGGCCACGTTGCGCAATCAGGATACAAAGAGACATTCTCGTAATTACTACGATAGTCTAGCGTTCTGCATGTACTCTTGTCCTGGCGTGCTGATTACGAATTATCGGCTATCTTTGGATTAAACGCAAACCTGAGATTTAGATTACAACGTCAGCATGTCAAGTGTTACCCCATGTTCTCACCTTAGTCACCAGTAGTACAATATATGTATTTTCAAATCGTCGTCGATATCGCGCGGATACGTACGCGTGGTCGCAACTAGGCTGGCCATGTCACCTCTTCGCGACAAAGAGTGTCTTAACCAGCTGGCCCCATTCCTTCGATCGATGGCGTGTTACAAGTTGAGAACCGAGCTAATGTGAGCGTTCCCAGAAAGGACATTTATAACCTTATTAATGAAATCAGGCGTTTGAAAAGCTGTGAAACCCCAGATATATATCAGCATCAAAAAAGAAAGCTACATACAATGAATGATTGCATGATCAAGGGCACGGACTTTTAGCAAAGCGTGATGTATGATAGGACCGTTGGTCAGTCACATGATCTCGATGAGCCGTTCTATCGTCCAAGCTTACCTATTTTGTCACGATGGAAGATCAACTTGGCCGCAGAAGCGCTATCACTGAGAAGACCGTGGGCATACGTAGTCATACGTTCGTGGATATCTTTTTCATCTCCCGCGGACTGTCATAACGAATCTTGGTCGGGTGCATTCTGAATGTGGTAGTAAGCGGTGTATCCGTCCCTGCAATCAAGAGCTTGAACGACGTTAACATGTTTGCCGGGACCCTGTGCGGCGCCGCTAAAATTGATCTAATTCCCATCGGTGCATGTACCAACCCGTCGCATCGCATTTTTGTGCGTTGATCTGTCCAGACGCCCCCACACCGCAGCACACCGCCCCCAAGCTCCCCAGCTGGCACGCAAAGCTTCTCATTTTCCAATTAGTTTCTCTTCCGAACTTGGCCGATGGCAAGTCTTAGTCTTATTCACCGGTCCGATAAGCCTGACGATCCTTCGCACGCGCTGAGTCGAGCGGAGCCTCGGTTTGTCCAACGGAAGTTCCATGCTGTTTCAGGTAGGGCAAAGCTTTTTAACGTAATGGCAGCTGGAGGTTTGATGTGATGTGATGCATTTTTTTTAGATAGGGTCAGTGCCATTATGAACTTCTAGCGTTGTAGATATGAATAATGACTGCGCAAATTATTGTTACCACGGCAAAGAACGATTACTTACAGGGGGATCAGTTACTGATGCAATCCGAAGCGCACCGACTAGGACGGAGGAAGATCTATCCAGTCGGAGGATCGCGTTCATTCATGGTTGTGAGGCGATCAACTACCAGCGCTGTGCTTGAAACGAAGTCAGCGGGACGCTGATGGAAATATGTAATTACCTTGTTCGTCCAACGCTGCACGTGGTTCAATTGTCTTCTCGGAGAAAAAAAAATGGAAGCTTGGTTGGGAGCCTCAGTGTTGGCATAATCGCGTCACTAAATTGAATAATAGTATGTGTATGGCCTTAGGGTTGACGGAGATTGCTACGAACCGAAAAAGAGGTCGAGGCTACCTACAGGTGGTTCCGCCGGTTATACACGTACTTTCCGTGACATCGCATCATATCAACGAATACGTTTCGTCATAATATAAAAAGTCTAAGGAGTAGTAGTATAGTTGAAAGTTGATTGAACACGTGGAGATTACGATGAGATCATGACGGATGGAAGTGAAACTGTTTTAGCGAAGCGAGAGATGCGGCGGCGGCCAAGTTAGTAAGAGACCAGAAGCAATGTGAACCTGCCATATTTCATTTTCCTAAAGTGACAACAAGATCGAGATTGTCATACGCCACTAAGCTCTGACAGGAGGGTACCTGGCTATTGTGAAGGGTAAATTAGAATGACCTCTTCCAGAAGTGGTATGAATAGACCCTGGATACAACGAAAAGCTAGGCTGACAACAGCATTCATAGTAAGTCGGATCCAATATAACGGTACTTTTGTATCGCCTCCGAGATCTAGCACGTCAAAAGGGGTTGCCGTAAAAATACCGAAGTTGGCACGGCATTACGCGGATTGGCATTTCAATCAACTTTTTGAAAGACAGCGATTAATTTTATTACTGCATTTGGATTCGACCGTTAAGCTCTTTAACTCACGCTATAGTCCAAGATTGGAAGTGCTTCCATGAAAACTCCACATGCGAAAAGAGCCGAGATCACTCTGTTACTAGTACGTGAAAGTAGCCGACGGCCAAGGCCCTGATCTCCCCTCTCCCGCAGTTTCATATATAATACATCATCCTCCAAGGTTTGACAACTTTCCCCTCTTCGCTTCTGTCTCCAATCCACTTGGCGTCAATCGCCTCCCCTACTATCATGTCCCATAGACACTTACAACGTCAGTCTGACAGGGACGTGCGCATGCACGAGCCACCTGCCCATTCCCATCCTCATGCTATCCTCACACATCCTCCACCACCTCAACCTCATATCAATGGCAATGCAGCGGCCTTGCCTACTACACCAGCACTTTCAAATGGCTCTACTCATGCACACACAGCATCAAATCAGATCGTTTCACCTGTGGTAATCCCAAACGCTCCCGCCTCAAACGGCGTTGCGCCACCTCAATCAAGCGTCATTCACAAGTTGGCAGTGGCCAACGAACAAACGTGGCTTTTGATCGGTAAGTGTTTTCATCCAAAGAAAAATCGGGTAATGAGTTTAATGCTCTTATTCTTCCCAGGGCGTGTCGCGGAGCAGATGGGCGACCTGGAACATGCGATCACAGCATATGAAAACGCACTACGGCATAACCCGATGTCCCTGTCAGGACTTACACAAGTTGCGGGAATCGCGCGGATCAAGGAAAATTATCCAAAGGTAGGAAAAATCCTTGATGCTATTTCGTGCCAATCCCGCGTCGAAGCCGATGTCCTCCGAGGATATCCCTTTGGTAGCCTATCTATCACTTTTTCGTTTGCGCCCATCCTTATCTCAGATCTAATTTCCAATCTAAGATCCCCTCACGTGGCAGATGCTGATGTCATCATCTTTCTCTTTTAGGCTGTTGAGTATTTCCAACGTGTTCTACAACTACAAGAAGACAACGGCGAAGTATGGAGCGCACTCGGTTAGTTCATCTTACCTTACATATCCGTATGTGCTCATCCCCTTTGTTCTATTACAGGCCATTGTTATCTTATGCAGGATGATCTGCAGAAGGCCTACTCCGCTTATCAGCAGGCTTTGTACCTCCTCCCTAACCCGAAGGTATGTCAACTATCCCCATCTCTTCTTCCATCCTCATGTCAACAAACTACTAAGGAGGATCCCAAGTTGTGGTACGGTATCGGCATACTCTATGACCGGTATGGCTCCTTGGACCACGCCGAAGAGGCGTTCGCTTCTGTCCTTAAGATGGACAAAGGTTGGCCTTCTTCGACTTCCCGAAGCATCTTCGTTGATATTCATTCCGCAGAACTAGACTTTGACAAGGCAAATGAAATTCTCTTCCGTCTCGGCATAATCTACAAGCAGCAGGGCAAATATGAAGAATCACTCAGCTGCTTTGATCGCATACTGCGCAATCCTCCAAGTCCTCTCGCACATGCGGACATCTGGTTCCAGATCGGGCATGTCTACGAGCAACAGAAAGACGTAAGCACCATACCTATCCCGTACCACAGTTTCTGCATACTCATCATCTCTTGAAGCATGTCCGCGCTAAGGACGCATATGAACGTGTCGTTGCTGACAACCCTGGGCACGCAAAGGTTCTACAGCAATTGGGGTGGTTGTATCACCAAGATGGATCTTCTTTTCAGAACCAAGAACTTGCCATCCAGTACCTGACCAAGAGCCTGGAAGCTGGTGGGTTATTGTAATTTACCTATCTTTGCCTCCGTACCGATGCCGTCATACAGACCCTTCAGACGCTCAAAGCTGGTACCTCCTCGGCCGTGCTTACATGGCCGGCCAGAAGTACAACAAGGCGTACGAGGCCTATCAGCAAGCGGTCTACCGCGATGGCCGCAACCCCACTTTTTGGTGTTCTATTGGTGTTCTTTATTTCCAGATCAACCAATTTCGTGACGCTCTTGATGCATACTCGCGTGCTATCCGCATCAATCCTTATATCTCTGAGGTCTGGTTTGATTTGGGCAGCCTCTACGAGAGCTGCAACAACCAAATCTCAGACGCCATCGATGCTTATGCTCGTGCCAGCGAACTTGACCCTGGAAACCATGTCATTTCGCAACGTCTCCAGCTTCTCAAGAATGCTCAAGCGACTGGTGGTCAGCTGCCTGCTGCACCAGGTCCTCAGGATGTGCACCCAACCGCTTATGCCAGCGCCGTCGTTCCTCCCCCAGGACTCACCGGTCCTCCTCTCCTGCTGCAATCGACGTCAACTCGTCCTCCAATCTTCCGCCCTCAGTCGAATGGCCCACCCAGCGGTGACAATCTTCACTTGCCGCCTCCTGCACCTGCACCCGCTTCTAGATCATCACCTGGTCCGTTCCGAGGTGGTCCTCCACCACCTGTAGTGCTGGACGAGAGTCGCCACATGCCTTCACATACACCTCTGGCACCTATGGACGTTGATCGTCCACCTCATCCTCGCGACTACCCTAGTTCATCACGTGAGGGTCCAAGTCGTGGGCCAACTGGCCACCAAACTCTACTCCTCCATCATCCTGTTCCTCAGCAGCAAGTGCAAACGGAAGAGCTTCGTAATTCCGCCGTTCATGGTCCTGGTCAATATAATGACCACTTCCCTGGCCGTCCACTCAGGGTCCCTTCGACATCCGCGTCGCCACCGCCACCACACAATCCACGTGTCCGGTCTCCAGGTCCTGGGTACCCCAATTATCCTCCATCAAACAGGCAACCTGTGGGACCTGCCCAACCCAGCCTGTCACAACGTTCGCCGCCTAATTACCCTCGTGAGGCACCTCGTGCAGAGCATGACATGGCATGGGATCGTCGCGGGCCACCTCCTGAACATCATCGTGAATGGGAACGTGAACGAGAACGTCGAGGACGTCCCGAGTATCCCTCACATCCTTCGCAGCAACCCTATTATCCATCACGTTCTCCCGTCCCTCGTGGACACAGTCCAATGGAGACATCGCCTCGCTCTGCACACCCGCCCGCACACCCATCTCGTGCATACTGGGACTCCAAACCTCCTGGCGGTCCTCCTCACCCTCGTTCACCTGCACCACCAGGTCCTCCTGAGGGTGGCCACTGGCGATACGACCCTGCACGCGAACAGGAAAGAGGGGAGTATGAGCGGGAACGTCAGCTGCACGAGCAACGTAGGCAGTCAGCGAGTTTCGCATCGCCGGAAGGCATTCCTCATGCACTTCCTCATCATATGGGGGCTAGCTCTCGCCCCTCCGAAAGCCCGCGACCCACCCCTATGCCTGATGCGCGCGACCGCAAACGGAAGCAAATGAAGGATAGCAAAGATTCGGACACGCAGAGCATCGCTGGTACTGGTGTGATTGGCGAGGCGCCTAAGAAGGAGAAGAAGCGAAGGCAGCGACGTGCCAAGGATGACTCTGGTCGGTCAGATTCTAATGGTGTTCCTTCGAACATGCCTGCTACATTCAAAATCGGCTCTTTCTCTGCAAAAGAGGGACCAGAGACATCTTCATCAGGAAGTAGGTCACTGCAGCCTTCGCCAACAAGTGCGACACCTCGTCCACCATCACGTATCGTAGATGATGACTATGACGAAGGCATAGAAACGTTGCTTCATCTCTCGCAATACCGACAGGAGATACAGTCTTCATCGACAGACCGTGGCTCAGTCTCTTCTTCGCGCAGCCGTCCTTCACCCCCCGAAGTTTCAGGCTCCCTGAAGCGCCCTCTGAGCCCGGTCCCGGATGAGATGGACTCGAAGCGATCTCGGGTAGATGGTGGCAAGCGCAGTGGGTCATCTCCATCAGGTTCACGACACACTCCCATACCTTCTTCGCGACCATCGCCTATACCCTTCCGTACCCAGCCCTCGCATTCTCCAGAGTCGCGTCACACAGAATCTCACTACCAAACTAGTCCACCGCAGCTGGCCGTAGTGCTTCCGCCTCATCCCCGCCCCATTGGACCTGGCCATGCATCACATGTCAGCCCATCTGTTCCTATTGCACTTCCTCCTATTGCGACGCTGTCGCCTACATCAAGTATCCCTTCGCCATCTGATGACCGCATGATTCTCGACTCGCACCGTTCTTCTACTCCTCCATCGCGAGGAAAGCTTTCTGAGGTCATGAACCCAGCAGCAGGCTCTCCACCAATGAAGCCCACCACATCTCCTGCTCGCTCGCAAGAAAGGACTGCACCTACACCTCCTTAATATCGCTATGATTTTGTATGCGCTTGCTATTTAGGCTTGAGGCTTGAACCAACCCTATTATGATTGCATTGACGAGGCAGAGTATCGCACAATACAGATAATTATCCACACACTCGCATGTAAAGATACATTGAACACACTTGTCTGACAGCTCGATGAGCTACGAATACCATCTTTTGTGCATTGCATCATGACTCTCTGCCTTGGATTAGTTTCAAAGGTTCATGACTAAGGTACAAGCTGCAATAATTCGTTCTGACAGCTTGGATTCCCGAAACCTGGGGGGTGAAGGGACGCCAGCCCATCTGAACTGTTTGGATGGTCAGTTACGTACTATCATCATCGGGCACCGGAAGAAGAGTCGGAGCCTCTGACTTGTGCTCAGCTGGAATCGTTCTGTTCCTTCCAACTTGGTTGTTTGACAATCTTGATGCATAGCGACGCATTGATGGACTGGAGCACCTTCAAACCGCCCTCTTTGAACGCGGACCCAGGCATCATTCTCAACCAATTCCACGATGACAGCCAGTCTACTCGTTTGGCAGCCGCGCGCCGTGCTACGTAGAAGGAACGAATCAGTTTCTTCTTATTTGCCTACCTATGGGGGACTGGTGCAGAGAACACGGTGTATGACTGAACCTTGTTTGACAGAGCTAGTAGATCATCGAGAATCCTGTTCTTCTGATTTGACCTCGACAAGGGTTAGGTTTAGTTCAGACTGCGCGAGCGCACTGCGCCTCCCTTCAAGCACCAGTGATCGCAGCATATCTATTGACTGCGTTCACATAGGTTATCGTCACGCGACATTTGTATTCGCTTGAGATTCCATCTCATCCTTTTTCCCTGAACGGGCTATTCAAGTCGGTGGACCTGATCTGCCTGTCACCTGTCACCTTCGCTCGCGAGTCGCACATATGCATCATCTTTAGATGGAAGAGGTACGCCCATTGTGAAACCTTCTGAGGAGGCATTGCAGCTATCATCCCGCTCAGCGGCGGATAGCATCTACATTCTGTAGAAAGCTGCAACTTCCACAGTTGATTAGGGGTAAATTGTTTGCCACAAGTTGACTCCTCGTCGACGGCGAATGCGATGCCTTCTTGGTTTGGAGGCCACAAGCTGATTGAGTTTGGGCGCTCCTGATAATTTAAGTTGGCGCTTTCAGTTGCAGTAGCTCCGAAACCCAGCTATCTTTGGAATTTCACAGATAGAAGGTTCTGCGAAACTTTGTGATCAGTTTCTGATCATGTCGAGAGCTGTGCCTGCGATCTTTGCGGAGGCCACTGCAGGGTCCTGTCGTACTTGCAAGGATCCAGTTGTATGGGTTTGCTATAGATAACGTTAGCCTAGCTAATTAGGGTGACTGCCATTATTTGCTGGATCATGGGACTATGTCCGAGTGCTGAGCGCTGAAAACCAATGAGATGCATCAATATTAATGAATGGTTGGACAATCGAGCAGCAGCCAATAAAATATGCGGCGAGTGATGTAGAATTGTTGAGATGATAAACTGCAACCAAATCTGTTTCCGCTTCGAAGCACCACGCATCCTCAACTCAAGTTCGTCCAATTATTGGAACCAAAAACTTCATTCTATATCTTACATCTACACGGAGCATCACTCTCTCAAAGTGCCCGTTATTGCTCAGTCTTTTATATTGACTCACGCCTGCAAGTAGCCAGCCTCAGCGTTCCTCAACCTTGCATATTCAATGCGACATTGACAAGTCATGACATCTCTTGAAATTCCCATGAACGATGAATCGACATCCCATACACATTCCCAACAGATTCTTTCATCCACAGAGTCAACGACTCACAACCCGCAGTCGTCTTCTTCCTCCAGCCTCGTTGCTCCAGCGCAGTTACACGTCTCTCAAGCAACCTCGTGGACGCGCATGGACTTGGCCAACGAGGAAACTTCAGGGGCAGAGCAGGTCGAACTGGAAAATTTGGATAGCTTTGAAGTGAAGCATAGGGAAATCTCAACCGAGCAGCTGCCACTCAGCCCACCACTCACTCGCGTACCTACCACTGACAGCACAAGCGCACGCATCCTAACACCGCCACTGGAAAACGAGGAACAAGACCTGGAGGAAGTAGACATTGTTAACCATGAATGGCATCCTCTTGCACGCGCAGAGTCAGCAGCCAGGGTTGATGGCTTGTCTTTACACGACCGCGATAGCCTCGGTATCGGTTCAGACACAGATAAGAAACCTCGGAGGCGAACGAACCGCAAACCAACACATCTAAACCTTGAATTTAGGGAGCCTTCACCTCAGCCTTGGGATATCATCGATCCGCCACTTGACAACAATGACCCTGCAGAAAATGAAAGTTACTCGCCTTTAATGTACCCGTCTCAGCATACTGGGTATGTCTCTAATTTTATCTGAGTGATTGTTGATCTTGACTTTTCAACATAGGCATCGGCGACCCTTGATCCCCCACTCATCATACTACTATGGACCACCTCCATCAGACTCAGCCTATGGAACGCCCCCAGTTGGACAAATTGGTGTTCATCATCCTCGAGAAATCGTACGCATTGAAAGAGATTATGGTGGGGGGGAACTGACCCAGTTCTCTACAATATATCCTATTGAACTTGACGGCCGAGTACTGCTCCTATCCGCCCCTTGCTCTAGCTTTCTAACCCCAACTTGCCAGATAACACCGACTCAATTCATGGAGACTATCAATGACATCAACGAGCTTCTTATATCAGCGCATAGCGCCCGCCACTCTTTTATATACAATTTTCTTGCGGTTGCTACCCTGCACCTCTCGACACTTGTCTTCACGTCACACTACGATAAGGTTTGTCTTTGTACCCCCGTGTGGCGTACCTGCTGAACAAAGTTTGCACAGGAGATGCGGCGGTTAAAGGAGAAGATCGAGGGAATAAACACCCAAATATATAACCCCGTTGGCCTCAACATTATGTGGCCCCGGAACGTGGCTTTTCTTTTCGTGCGTATATTCATCACTCAAGGGTCCTTGTGCTCATCATTACTTCATAATGATCCGTCGCTTGACAACAACAGCTAGAAATTGAATACTATGTGCGTAGTTTATGCGCCGTCGGTGCATTCTCATATCCGCTAAAGCTAACCTTCCTTGTGCTTTAGTGACCTTTTCGAGCGATATTGATACCAGACACATTCCAACGACACACTTACTTATTGTACATCATTCTGCCTATGTCACATCGGGTACATGGATAATTTAATATGCTGAAATAAGGAGCATCGGTTTGATAATTGTGCTAACCACAAGCTGAAAAGTGCTGCCGAAGTCAATGAGTGTGTTAATCCACATGAAGACAGGCACAGGATTCACTAGGAATGTTCGAAAAGTTGATCTGATAAAATGGATAATTTAGAGTACGCTTGTGACTTGACAATCGGGTCGGCGTCCGAGTAGCTTGTGCACGGTGCACCTGTGGGTGCCTCGGTCATCTCTTTGATGGCAATCAGGTCCGAGGGGCTGGAAATCACGCAGTGGCAGTGGAATACAAGTGATCATTGTTCCACGCTGTCCCCGGGCCGCGAGTCAAAAGTGTTTCCTGCAAGAATGAGACAAACATAGTACATAGTACTGCGCCCCCATACTTGTCTCGACACAAATAGATGTACAAGTGAATAAAATGTTGTTCGTGTGTCGGTATTGTCTGAATCTGTACACAATGCCTTGACAAGAATCACTGAAGCTAGTCAGTTATTGGCACAATGGGAACACACGTGAGCGAGTGATCAGCGCTCAGCCAATGAGAACGTCTTTCAACCACATGTCTCTAATGCATGTGACAAGGGATTGTTCGGGCAGGCTCTAGTACGATCATGATCGGTTGATACGCTTCAAGTTGGTGGTCGCTACAGTCATTGGTGGGGGCTAGAAGGGACTCGGATCTTCGGTCATTTCAACCAGAGCTGGGGTTCCGATCAGAAACAGTAGTTTAGGCGTTTGAAATGAGGTACTACGAGTATGTACATATGGAGCATGCGCGTCCCTTCTCACCTTGATGCGGCGACCACGGCGGCCCAAGCCCAATAATGGCGGGCGATTGACGTCTGACGACTGTCTCTAATCCAGCATTCCTGCGAGTTCCGATGTTAAATGCGCTGTGTGAACCAGAATTTCCATGGCTTTTGTTCACCGACGAGTGACAATTTATACACCGACTTGACACAGGTCAAGCTGTCGAACAAACCGTGAGAGGAATGATCAAACCATTTCGACAAGGGACTGCGGAAAGCGGTAATAAAACGGCATTGGCTGCGGAAGAAGTTGTAGCAGATAACACCTGGTGACACTTACAGGTTTCACTTGTCCCAAAACCGCAAGCTAAAATCGGTCAACTCGGACGAGCGCAATGGTGGCAATAAACTAGCGAGACAAAGGGTCGGCAAGAAGCGGTCACTATCAGGTAAGAGACAGTCAGTGTGCATGTGGAATTGTGCTGGGGAACGAGCTTGGGAAGAGCAGCTCAGGTTATCGTATAAGTGAATTTGCAGAGTGCTATTCTGGGGCCGCAACCAACCCTCTATGATCGTTACCCGTAAAGGGAAGCTCTGAGCCAGGTACTCAGTGAAATGCGATGATCCTCGGGGAAACCCTAGGGAAGGAGCACCGACTCCTTACCTAAATCAAGAGTTATGGTTGGTGCATACACCATCAGGCTTAGGCCAGGACCTTGTGGCGAAAAGAAGCACAGCGAAAGTTGTTCAGCTGTGAATAAGATTGAATTCGACCCATGGGATCAACCCCAACTTTTTGAATCCTTTCATGGTTACTACGGCGAGAGGGTGAAACTAGAAGCTTGCATAATGCCGCATTGACCCAATGATTGGTTCGAAGACCCGGATGAGACGGATAGAAGTGTGACGAAACACAGGAGACTGTCTTGGCTGGTTGGTTGACATTCATGGAGCTCAGAGGTCCATTGGAGAGCGAGAATAAATACTTGAAAGCACCAACGCAGAAAGAGACTAGTTGTCAATGTTTAAACTCTGATAGCATTAAACATTGATCCGACATGGGGGTGCGCTGGGACATATCAGAACAGATTTGATATGCGAGGCGGAAGGAACTTCTTACAGCTTATTGGAAAATCACCGAAGAGTAAATCTGTGGTCCAGCGGCCGACACATGTCATGTCATGAACGGGCCTCATTCATCGAAAGCGTAACGGTTAGGCCGGTGTACTGTGTAGTAGCCTTGGAAACTCGGTCACTGATACTACCCGACAAGCGAGCTTGAGTCAAAGAGTGTGGAGTACCGCGGACCCGCACGTGCAAGGGCAAGTTGGCTATGTGCATGATTACCGTCATATTTTACCATCAAACTCAGATTGTAACGATCAACGCGGAATTGAAGTCAGCAACCAGACGACCCCCCCAATGCATTGCGTCACTACCGCACTGACGAGTACATTCGGCCGTCGGCAGAGTTGTATATAACACTGAAATATAACGTTATTATTTATGTAAAGATAAATTAAATAAACTAGGGGGGTGTAAATGTGATTTGTCATAGCAAGACTGAGGATCACCGAACGCATACGGTGTACCGTATCTTATTCTCCTGACTCGACTGCTTTAGCTTCATTCTCACTATCAACATTTCTCTTTCATCTTTACCATCGTTTCCAGCAGCGGGTTCACGACTTTTGGTACCGCCTAGCTTATCCACCCTATTCCAGCTCGTCCAAGATTCCAGAATCTTATGGAGTTCCCTACCATGAACAACTTCTGGGATCTATCGCAAACTCCATCTCAGTTCTCTCAGCTTGGCGATGACGACTTTCTAGCTCTCCTTCAAAAACAATACCCTAATACCGTCCCTGACGTCAATGCCACTGACGTTGGCGCCGTAAACCCCCAAAGCATACAGAAAGCTCCTTTGCCAAGTCAAACACCGCCCTCTGATGATAGCAGTCCAAGTCCACCAAGCATCAACAGTATCAATCATCCACGATCAAGGCACCAGTCTACTTACTCCCGTGGCAATGACAATGAGGAGTCCGCGCTAAAGCGCAAAGCGAGCGATGACGACATGGAGGAGGGTCCAAGTTCAAAGAATCAACACACTGGTCCGTGACCTATCGTTCTTCGTGTTTATCCATGACGGCTAAGCCTCTATTTTTATAAGCAGCTGATGACCCGAACAGCACAAAAAAAGGGTCAATATCCAGACGAAAGTCGGGAGGGTCTCAGGTTCGTGGTCCCTCGGCTTCCAAAGCTACAGTCAATCTAATTCACATCATTTTCAAGGATGACACACGGCTCCTGAAGCGAAAGGAACAAAATCGTGCTGCTCAACGCGCTTTCCGAGAACGAAAGGAAAAGCATGTCAAGGATGTGAGTCAACTGATTCATTTCGTTGCTCTTGCTCACGGCCCGGTTTTTAGTTGGAGGATAAAGTGGCTGCTCTCGAGGCAAAGAATAAAGACGCGCTAAATGAAAATTCTAATTTACGAGATCTTCTCGCACGCCTTCAGGAGGAGAACCTTGCTCTTAAGCAAGCCCAATTCACATTTTCAATGCCGAAACCAATCGATCATTCACAGGCTTCTTCATCAGCATCACCTCCGACCATCCAAGCACCATTTAGCTTCTTTGGCTCCCCTCCAGCAGTTCCACACCCCACTCCACCCACATTACGCACCACCTCCCCTAAGCCATTTAGCGACATTGATTGGAGTTCATTGACAACGTTCGATCCCACATTACTCACTGCAATGGATGATATTCCTTCAGGTCCAATGCAAGTTGATTCTTCAAATTCACCATATGGCCAATATGCCCTGCCAGCTCCCAACCAGTACAAGACTCTCGCCACTAATACATTCTTCATGTCATTCGCCGACACCGATTCCAGTTCATTCAATAATGGTCCTATCAGCAACGAGACCGTTAATAACACCTCTAACGGTTTGAATCAATTCCCGTTCAATTTCCCTTCACCTTCGAATTCCTGGAACAGCACAAGAAATGGCCAATCCCAAACAGAATTCTCACAATCTTCAGCTCATTCCGACTACATGCAAAACCACAGCCTAGACGAGCTTTTCGGCGGGACGTTCATGAACGGCCAAGGATCTGTTGACTTCGGCACGCTGATGAAGAGTCCGCCCGCACCCACCGTAAGTCCCGTGACACACGCAAACGGGAACGGGAACGGGAGCGCGCAATCACCATCCGGTAGTATATCCTCACAAAACTCCGTGGCTTCCCCCCTTTCTGCACATCCCATACCATCACCATCGTCGGCTAGCACGTCAAACGGTCAAAGTCCATTCAGCTGGACGATGTCCCGACAAGACGCCGAAAGTCCACCTTCGGCTTCCGAGTCGTCATCTAATGTAAACCCCCGGGGGCCCATCGTATCGAGAGAGGATGTCGCCAAGCATATAGCTGCATCCGGTGACTCACCGTTTACGAGTCCACCATTCTCACAGCCTGCGGTGCGCAAGACAAGCGATTTCTCTCAAGGTGGGAGTATGATCGCTTGCGAGGGCTCACAATTCCCGAAGACGAAAGAGAATCCGGCGAATATCGATGTTCTGAAAGCGTGGCGGACGATCACGTCGCATCCTCAGTTCAAGGTCGGCATCTAATCGTTTGGTGGAATGGCTTTTGTTGATTCAAATTCTTTAGGACGCCGACATCAATCACCTATGTACGGAGTTCACAAAGAAGGCACGATGTGATGGGACAAAGGTTGTTTTAGAGCCAGAGGGTGTGCATCATATCTTGGAGACATTCAAAGCAAAGTCGTTGGCTCAGCAGCAGCAAACGTCTCCCAGTTAATCGAGCTAGCACACGGATTCCCATTTGTATTATGCATCGCTAGATCATCATTTATCTTGCTTTCTCACACTTCGTTCTTCTGTTTTGCTATATTTTTCTATGTAGTATTTCCTGACTATTGGGATGAGGAGTGGTACATAATCGTCCGGCTTATTGTACAATGTGCAGTCTCGGGTTGTTAAATGAAAGCCTTCGCTTGTAGACGTCAAATACAAGTTTCTCAATGATTCGCTGTGTGTGCCTTCTTCGCGCTCAGCGAAATGCTCAAACTCACGAAATGTTTGCATCTTTGGTCCCAACTCATTATAATTAAAGAAAAGGTTTTGCTTGTAAATTCCAGATACAAGTGTGATTTCTCACATTTTGTTTGCGCTAAGTAATATTTTCTGACTATTGCATTGCCGCGGTGTATGCGCGAGGAGATAATCCGGCTTATTGTACAATGAATGGTCTCGGTTTGTTAAATAAAAGCCTTCGCTTGTAGATCCTAAATACAAGTCTCTCAGTAATTCGCCGTGCGTGCCTTCTTCCTGGACACACGTTAGCGAAAGTATCAGCGCTGAGAGAAAGACTCAAACTCACAAAATGTTTGTATCTCTGGTCCCGGCTCATTAGAGGAAATCCATCGCTTGTAGATTCCAGATACGAGCATACTCTCCCCCTTTCCTCATTAGTTCATCGTGTGTGCCTTGTTCCTGGGGGGATTCGTCCATGTACCTGCAAGCCATGTCAGTATGATGATGAGTATAGAAAGAAAGACCAAAACTCACAAGATGAGATCTGCATGCCAGGTAAGTTTGCCGAACCGGTGAGTGGAGAATATCATGGTCTTGCTGCCCCTCCACTTTTTCAGGCGCTCGAAGAGAGCTGACTTCGGCAGCTCAATAGTCAAACTTGGCTTAGAAACAGAGCAGGGTACTATGTTCGGCTGTAGGGTCTAGGGAGGCACTCAGCTCATCAAATAACAGCATACCAGTGGAAGGCTCTGTCTCGGTGGGCAATGAACGCATCAATGTGCGTGAGCTAGTCAAGCAATCGGCACTTTGCATATAAGAGGTTAAGATATGGTCACGTACACTGCGAGCCGCTGCATCTGCCCGCCACTGAAACCTATATAGGGGGTGGCACAAATGTTCCCAACGCGACGCACAAGGGAGAAGTCGACGGAGGACTCATTGCGCCGCCGAATGCCTTCAAAAGTCTTGTAGTGGGCGATCGATGTAGGTGTCAAACCCGTCAGGGAGATCATCGATGAATTCTTCTGCGCCGCCGAGACGGGCGGCTTCGCGGATCTTCTCGTCACCGTTTGCGAATGCGGGGTTGCCAAGTCCGATGTTCTCGTGTATCTATGTGTGAATTAGGTGTATTGCTTATAGGGTACTTGTACGGGAACAACGCTTACTGTGACTGGAAAGTGGGAGTAGCCTTGGAAGAGGATGGACATGGCAGCCCGGAGATCAGCCAGTTTAAGGGTTTTGATGTCCTGGTCGTCGATGAGGATGGTGCCATCTGTTGGGTCATAGACACGGGAGATCAATTTCAAGATCGTGCTCTTTCCAGAGCCATTCACTCCGACGATGACCTACGATCACGGTTAGAGAATAGCACCGCGAAAGGAGTAGGACTTACTGGAAAGCATACTTCTCGCTACCAGGGTACTGAAATGTCACATTCCTGGCACGCTTCAGAAACGGCTACATGAAGTCATCAATAATTATAGCATCTGAACTCGATAGAAATGCCACTCCTGAGACTGCTTGTCCTCGGGGAACGGTTGTGTGCCATCCACCACCTTATTCTGCATGTTACCTAACTCATACTTGGTGATATGAGTGAATGTCTCTGCGAGAGAGGAACACTGCCTGAAAAGTGACTGGGAGAAGGGTGAGGAGCTGAACGAGTTAGAAACTTGATACATCAATACAAGCGATGCCAAATAGAGGGGCGCAGTCATTGGTTCCTGTGCGACGCGCAGAGTGAGGAGGATCTGGTTGACATGGTCAACTTCGTCGACTCCTAGGTTAATTCCGAGTGCAGGCAGCATATGCATTGTTTCTCTTAGGATGGATACTACGCTCAGACGATCCTGAATATAACAGATTCGTTCCACTTCTGGAAAATCAACTGCATCGTCGCTGACGCGCCGGGAGAATTCGCAAAATTCTGGTCTCAGGACAGTTAGAATAAGGTTATCCGATAAGGTGTGGCAACATACATGCAGTGAATATTCGCTCATGCTGCCTGTAACAAGCTCCTCGAGGTACTGAGGGTTAAGAACGAGCTGCCTCAGGGCCCTCGTGCGAAGAAAATATTTATTGATGGTTGTTGCAACCCAGACTCATACAGCTCAGACAAATGCGGAGTACATCAACTGTTGACTTGAGGATCTGGCCCCTGCTTTTCGTGTGCCATCCCAGTTAAATATAGGCTGGGAAAGGCTGAGAATTGCGAGGAGTGGACCATCCTGTTGCTCTCGCAGGACCGTTATCAGAACCAATAGCTAAGACAGTAGACGAACAACCGTCATTGCAATGTTCGTTGAAATTTCGACGATTTCACATTGAATACCCAAACGGCTCGAAGAAATTATTTGCGTTAAAGCATTATAGGTGGGCATGTCAAGGTAAAGAAGGGAGTGAAATTCGCGCTCAGCGTCAACTCGTCTGATGGAAGTGTCCATAGGAAAAATTATGCAGCGTCGGGCATATTTGAGAAGGCGCATCGTTATTGTGCATGCAAGATGTGCTACTGCGGCGTCAGCAAGCACCGACGTGTCTATAGTACGCCTCTCCATTGCGGTCTCTACCTGGGTGCGAGATAAGCGGGCAGTGCAGATGGAAGAAAAGAGAGCCCTACAAGGCGGAGCAGTTGTCCAGTGTACCTGCGCAAAGACTTATGAACATACAAGAGTTGCCAACATATGAAACATACCAAAGAGAGATGGCGGGTATAAGGGCGCCGAAGAGTTCCACTATTAGGTATGCGAATAGAAGAATGAAACATTTAGTACATATCCTTTGACATGCGCACAACATAGGGCATGTTCTGGAGCATTTAGATATGTCTCCGATATCGATGAGCCTAGTATGCGGAGCGAATGTGGTTGACGTTCCTTATAGAGGTTCCATATACCGATGCGAGTATGCTTGATGCGGCGAGCATCCTAGAGCTCCGATTCTGAGCGTGTTGACATTCTCTCGATGATGGAAGAAAGTTCAAGGCACGTTCCATTCGTAGTACTTGAGTCAAGAGGTGGGCGTCAGGCGAACCCCGAGATACACTGCAAGTCAGGAAGAGGCAATGTACATGGGAATGCAGCACGAGTGGCAGTGTGGCACATCATCGAGTGAGCTTTTTTTCGGCTCGGAACGATCAGCTTGGAATCACCGTACACCAGTATATTTATGTGACAGGTTCGCATTGGTATGCCATCAATTGATACCTTGGGCCACTAATCGAGGTGCCTGCGCCTGGTTCGAGATGGGGAATCAAGAATGAATCGAAGAACTGAAAGCATTGACCTCAAGTACGGCGAACACTGATGTCTCCTACAAGCGACTAGAGACTAGAGTAGCATTGCAGTATCCACATCCTATAATGTAAGAATGAAAAACGAAGAATTAAGACTTACTTGGCCGCCGATATACCGTGTGCCGAGTTGTGCAGGTGCGTCGACAGTATTTCGAGCCCGGCCTGCATCTTCCTCGGAGCACTTTCGAATTGCTTGGTTCCTTTACATAGCTCTATAGGCAGCATAGACTGAGGTGTGGAACCCATGAACAACTTGAGTATGAGTCCAGAGATACTCAGGCTGATTATTGTGTCCCTGGTTCAAGGCAGGTATCGAAAATCGATTGGGCAAGTTGCGATTGATCGGAGCCAAAGACACTAGACTCTGCAGAATCACGAAGAGTGGATGAAGGTGGTATCAAGTGAGTGGCAACCAAAGTGTATACATCATATTCAAAGGAGACCGTGACATCCAAGCTTAGCTTCAAGAGCCGATCGATTTTGGTCACAACATTTGCTGAGCGGAGCAACAAACACTCGTCGACCGAATTCAATTTGAACAATTATCTATTGGTATGAATACGCACTGCATCTTCTGGTAAAGTGGTGTTACGTGTCGACGCCCATCGCAAAGGCACGATGTGACGGGATAAAGGTCGTTTTAGAGCCAGAGGTGTGCATCATATCTTGGACTCCAGACATTCGGGCCGCCTCAAAGCAAAGTCGTTGGCTCAGCAGCACCAAACGACTACCAAACGCCTCCCAGTTAATCGAGCTAGCACACGAATTCCCATTTGTATTATGCATCGCTAGATCATCATTTATCCTGCTTGCTCACATTTCGTTCTTGCGTTTTGCTATATTTTTCTATGTAGTATTTCCTGACTATTGGCATGGGGAGTGGTACATAATCGTTCGACTTATTGTACAATGTGCAGTCTCGGGTTGTTAAGTGAAAGCCTTCGCTTGTAGATGTCAAATACAATGATTCGCCGTGCGTGCCTTCTTCCTGGACACACGTCAGTGCGAGTGTCACCGGTGAGAGAAAGACTCAAACTCACGAAATCATGTTTGCATCTCTGGTCCCGACTCATTAAAGGAAAGGTTTCGCTTGTATATTCCAGATACGAGCATACTCTCCCCCTTTCCCCATCAGTTCATCGTGTGTGCCTTGTTCCTGGACGGATTCGTCCATGTATCTGCGAACCATGTCAGCACGGGTTTTGGCATTCAACTTTCAAGAAAGACCAAAACTCACAAAATGAGATCCGCATGTCGTGTGAGGTTCCCGAACCGGTGAGTGGAGAATATCATGGTTTTGGTACCCTTCAACTTTCGCAGATTCTCGAAGAGATCTAATTCCAGCAGGTATGACACTTTCAAACTTGGCTCAGAAACAGGGAAACCCACCGTTTTCAGCTGTAGGGTCCAAGGAGGCGCTCGGTTCGTCGAATAAGAGCATACCGGCGGAAGAGTCTGTATCGGTAACCAAGGAACGCATGAATGTGCGTGACCTAGTCAAACAATTGGTAAACAGCCAGCACCTGCACCCGAGATATCAAAGCACGATCACGTACACTGCAAGCCGCTGTTTTTGCCCACCGCTGAGGTCTGAAACAGTGGAAGTACGGAGACCCCCCATATTACGCACATTAGAGTAGTCAACGGCGGTGCTTTCGTTGTAGTCCGCGTAGTAGTCATCTACAGGGCGATCAATGTAGGTATTGAATCCGTCTGGGAGCTCCTCAATGAAGTCTCGTGCGCCGCCCATCTTGGCGGCTTCGCGTATCTTGTCATCATCTTGTGCGAGGCCAGGGTTGCCAAGTCCAATGTTCTCACGTATCTGAGCATGCTTAGGTATATTGCGCTTCTGAAGTGCGTGAAGACTAGGCTCACCGAGAGGGGAAAGTGCGTGTAGTCCTGGAAGAGGATGGACATGGCAGCACGGAGGTCAGTGAGTCTGAGGGTTTTGATGTCGCGGTTGTCGATAAGAATTGTACCCTCTGTCGGGTCATAGATGCGGGAGATGAGTTTCAAAATCGTACTTTTTCCAGAGCCATTCCCTCCGACAATGACCTACGGTCACGGTTATAAAGTGGGTAGCGAAAGTGGAGGGACTCACGCAAAGCTGACTAGCCTCGATCCTGAATGAAACATCCCGGAGTGCATACCTCTCTTCATCAGAGTACTGGAACGATACATTCCTGAAACACCATATGCCTCAGAAACGCTCACATGGAGTAACAACTAGCAGAAGCACCTGAACTCAACAGAAATGCCACTACTGAGGGATTGCTGGTTCCCGGGGAACCGTTCTGTGCCATCCACCACTTTGTTCTGCACGTTCTTAAACTGATATAAATGGCGTACGTTGGCAAATATTGTAGCAAGATCGGACACCGTGTACGACAAGAGGGGTGTAGAAATGAATGAATTAGATGTCTGTTCAATTAGCACGAATGACACAAAAGAGAGAAGGACCGTCGTTGGCCTTCGCGCGACGCTCAGGATGAAGGCGATCTGGTTCATTTGGTCAGCTTCATCAACTACCCTGTAAATCTTGCCTACCTGAGGCAGTTCATGCATCGTTTCACGGAGGATGGAGGTGATGCTCGGGAATTTCCCCATAGAATGAGCTTCATACACTTCTCTAAACCTGCCCGCATCATCGCCAAGGCGCGAGGCTGATTCGCAAAATTCTAGCTCGTGGCAAGTACGTCAAATGAGGTCGTCCTGGAACCTATCTCGACATACGTGAAGTAATATATTCGCTGAGGTTGCCTGCGACGAGCTCTTTACGGTGTGAAGGGGAAAAACCGAGGATCCTCAGGCCTTGCGTGCGAATGTAATCATTATTGGTCGTGGTCGCGGCCCAAACTACATGCATTCATGGCTCAGACAAGTCTACGGAGCGTCGATTGTTGACTTACCACCCATATCAAAGTTATGCCTCCATGATTGTTTCCTATACCAGCGAAACATAGATTGCGAGAAGCCAAGGATCACAAGAAGTGGTCCATTTTGTTGCTTCCGCAAGATTGTGAACAGAACAAAAAGCTCAGAGAGCATACCAGTGGTCATCGTTGTGAGGCTCGCCAACCTGTGAACAGCTTGCCATGCAAGGCTGGTGTGCATGGTCCTACTATTTGTCACAGAATCGAACTGCAGCTGGACAGCAGAGTCTGTAAAGGTGGGTAGGTCAAGACGGGCTGTCGAGTGGAATAGGTGTCTAGCATAAAATTGTCTGATGGATATGTTTATGGGGATTTCCATGCGTCTTTGGATATGTTTGAGAAGGTGCGAAGCGACTGCGCATGTAACACGTCCTACTGCCACATGAATCACTACTGTGGTGTCAATAGTGGGTGTCTCCATCACAGTCTCCACCTGTGTTCGAGATAGTAAGTGTGAAGTAAAAGTAGAAACAAAGATAGCACTACGAGTTGGAGCAATTGTCCATCGTACCTACACAAATACGTCATATGTGTATAGGGAATCACCTAGATCTTTGTGACATACCATAGGGAAACGGCAGGTATAAGGGAGTCTAAGACTTTCACTGCCAAGAATGCGGAGAGAAGCATCGGGACTCGTCTGATATTGAGTATTTCCTTGAACATGCGGACCACGTAGGGCATATTATCGCGTATTTGGACAATTGTCTTCAATATTGATGAATCTGGGCTGCGTGGTAACTCTTTTCCACGTTCCTCATAGAGGTCCCATATACCGATGCGAGTGTGCGTGACAGGGCGGAGGTCTGACTGTCTTGAACTTGTTGCCATTCGTATCTTTCCGATGTCTGATTCTGGCGGCAGAACAGAAGTAAGTTGAAGAATTATATATAGTGGCACTAGGCAAATCCCGAATACTTACAAGGGTTGTACCCCGGGCAGGCCTTAATGCAAATGTATCACCAGATCATCATTTACCCCACTTTCTCACACTTCGTTCTTGCGGTGTCTTGCTATATTTTTCTACGTAGTATTTCCTGACTATTGGCATGAGGAAGGGTACATAATAGTCCGGCTTATTGTACAATGTGCAGTCTCGGGTTGTTAAATAAAAGTCTCAGCTTGTAGATCCCTCTTAATAATTCGCCGTGCGTGCCTTCTTCTTCGGCACACATCAGCGCTGGGAGAAAGACTCAAACTCACGAATTCGCATCTCTGGTCCCGGCTCATTAAAGAAAAGGTTTCGCTTGTATATTCCAGATACGAGCATACTCTCCCCCTTTCTTCAACAGTTCATCGTGCGTGCCTTGTTCTTGGACAGATTCGTCCATGTACCTGCAAACCATGTCAGCACGAGCATTGGCATTCAACTTTCAAGAAAGACTAAAACTCACAAAATGAGATCCGCATGTCGTGTGAGGTTCCCGAACCGGTGAGTGGAGAATATTATGGTCTTGCTGCCCTTCAACTTTCGCAGATTCTCGAAGAGATCTAATTCCAGCAGGTATGAGACTCTTAAACTTGGCTCAGAAACAAGGAAGCACACCATTTTCAGCTGTAGGGTCCAAGGAGGCGCTCGGCTCGTCGAAGACCAGCATACCAGCGGAAGAGTCTTTATCGGTGACCAAGGAACGCATGAATGTGCGTGACCTAGTCAAACAATTGGTAAACAGTCGGCACCTGCACCCGAGAGATCAAAGCATGGCCACATACAATGCAAGCCGCTGGTTTTGCCCACCGCTGAGGCCCGAAACAGTAGAAGTACGGAGACCCCCCATATTACGCACACCAGAGTACCAATCATCGGCTACTGTGACCCCTGCAGGGAGGTTCGCGTACTGGTCCTTCACGGGGCGATCAATGTAAGTGCTGAATCCGTCTGGGAGCTCCTCAATGAAGTCTCGTGCGCCGCCCATCTTGGCGGCTTCGTGTATCTTGTCATCATCTTGTGCGAGGCCAGGGTTGCCAAGTCCAATGTTCTCGCCTATCTGAGTATGCTTAGGTATATTGCACTTCTGAGGCGTGTAAATATTATACTCACTGAGAGGGGAAAATGCGTGTAGTCCTGGAAGAGGATGGACATGGCAGCACGGAGGTCAGCGAGTCTGAAGGTTTTGATGTCGCGGTTGTCGATAAGAATTGTACCCTCTGTCGGGTCATAGATGCGGGAGATGAGTTTCAAAATCGTACTTTTTCCAGAGCCATTCCCTCCGACAATGACCTACGGTCACGGTTATAAAGTGGGTAGCGAAAGTGGAGGGACTCACGCAAAGCTGACTAGCCTCGATCCTGAATGAAACATCCCGGAGTGCATACCTCTCTTCATCAGAGTACTGGAACGATACATTCCTGAAACACCGTATGCCTCAGAAACGCCTACATGAAGCAACGAATAGCAGAAGCACCTGAACTCAACAGAAATGCCACTAATGAGGGACTGCTGGTTCCCGGGGAACCGTTCCGTACCATCCATCACTTTGTTCTGCACGTTCTTGAGTTCATATAAATTGCGTAGCCCAGCAAATTTTGCAGTAAGATTAAATACTCTGTATGGCGAGAGGTATGTCGAAATCAATGAATCAGATACATGTTCAATTAGCTGGAGTGACGCAAAAGAGAGGGGCACCGTCGTTGGCCTTCGCACGGCGTTCAGCATGAAGGCGATCTGGTTCATTTGGTCAGCTTCATCAACTGCCCTGTCCATTCTGCCTACCTGAGGCAGCTCGGGCATTGTTTCACGGAGAATGGTGGTGATGCTCGGGAATTTCCTCATAGAATGAGCTTCGTACACTTCGTTAAAGTCGCCCGCATCATCGCCGAGGCGCAGAGCGGATTCGCAAAATTCTGGCTCATGATAAGTACATCAAATGAGGTTGTCCTGGAAGGTATAGTGACATACGTGAAGTAATATATTCACTGAGGTTGCCTGCGACAAGCTCCTTACGATGTGAAGGAGAAAAAGTGAGAACCTGAAGACCTTGCATGCGAATATAATCATTATTGGTCGTGGTCGCGGCCCAAACTACATGTATTCGTGACTCAGATGAGCCTACGGAGCGTTGTTTGTTGACCTACCCCCCATACCAGAGAAGCTGTCCACCGATGATTGTGTCCTGTACCAGCGAAGTATAGATTGCGAGAAGCCAAGAATCATAAGAAGTGGTCCATCCTGCTGCTTCTGCAGGACTGTAAACAGAACAAAAAACTGAGAGATCATAGTAGTCGTCGTCGTTGCGAGGCTCGCCAAGTCCTGAACAACTTCCCATGCAAGGCTGGTTTCCACATGCATATTCCTGGGACGCGTCACAAAACCGAGCTGCTGCCGGACAGCCGAATCTGTAAATGTGGGTAGGTCGAGGCGGGCCATCGAATGGAATACATGTCTAGTGTAAAATTGTCTGATGGACATGTTTATGGGGATTTCCATGCGTCTTTGGATATGCCTGAGAAGGTGCGACGCGACTGCGCATGTAACACGTCCTACTGCCACATGAATCACTACTGTTGTGTCAACAGTAGATGTCTCCATCATAGTCTCCACCTATATTCAAGATAAGTGTGAAATAAAAGTGGAAACAAAGATAGCACTACGAGTCGGAGCAATTGTCCATCGCACCTGCACAAACACATTATGAATGTACAGGAAATCACCTAAATCTTTGCGACATACCACAGGGAAACGGCAGGAATAAGGGAGTCTAAGACTTGCACTACCAAGAATGAGGGAAGAAGCATCCGGACTCGTCTGATATTGAGTATTTCCTTGAACATGCGGACCACGTAGGGCATATTATCGCGTATCTGGACAATTGTCTTCAATATTGATGAATCCGGTCTGCGCGGTAACCCTTTTCCGCGTTCCTCATAGAGGTCCCATATACCAATGCGAGTGTGTGTGACTCCAGAATGGAGGTCTACTAACTGTCTTGGACTTGTTGCCATTCGTATCTTTTGCAATGTCTGACTCGGGCAGTGAGAGAACAGAAGTGAGTTGAAGAATGATATGTAGTGATTTAAGAGGAGAGCACTAGACGAATCCTGCTGCAAAGAAAGTTCATGGCCCCCTGGGCCTGTGATCAGTCAGACCTTACTCGGTTCTTTCGAGTTACTGAATTGACCACACCTGACCTTCCCATTGAGTAAGCCTTACTATACTGTGGCGCTAGAGTCTGGGGTCTTTTTGTTATGAAATGTCATGTGGTTGTGACGTCCACCGAACCTGCCAGGGGAGGAAGACACTTGTTTCCGATACGGAAAAATCGTAGGTAGCTATGTAGAATCCATCCTGCACCTCAAAAAGACGTTTGGCGTGTCTCCGTGTGCTGATTCACGTTAATGCCGACAACAAAGATGCTTGAGTGCTTTATGTAAAAACCGGAAACTCCAGAGACTCAGAGAGTCTGGCAGGTCACTACACAGTGTACACACTCGTTTGAACTTTGTTTGTGCAGGGTCAATTCAGGGTTGACAACGTTGATTGAAGGTCCGACTGATAACAGCTGGGCACCAAAAATCGCAATCCTTATCACAAGCCAACTCAAACTGAAGATTTATGTAATCACATTTCCGGTCTTCCCGTATCATAGACGATGAGAAAAGAATAGCCTTATAGCTGTGCGTATCTGGAGCAGGATAAGACACCGAGTGCCGCACCTGTAACCCGAGATACCCACAGCCCATCATCCGTGTTCAACACCATCGAGCTCTGCCACAATGGAAGAAGAAACAGCACAATCTATCACTATAATTGACGCACCTAATCGAATATATGAAAATACCGATACCGTACTTGCGGTCGCAGTCTTTCCTGATCAACGACATATGGTGACAGGCTCGGCAGACAAGATGCTTCGTCTGTGGAACTTGGAGAATGGCATTAATGTATTGAAGAAGATGGAGGGGCATCGCGGCTTGGTGCGGGCAGTGGCAGTATCACAAGACAGAAAGTTGATAGCAAGCGCCGACCATGGAGATATCATCATCTGGGATAGAGATACTGGCGAATCTCTCACCCCTAATAGTACACCCATCAAAGCCCACCCCACTGACTCATACATCCGCTCGTTAGACTTTTCGCCAGATGGCAAAATGTTGGTGTCTGGTTCATCAGACCATATGACGAAGTTGTGGAACACAGAGACGTGGCAGCAACAAGGGAATCCAATCAACTGTAATGCGGCAGTTTATAGCGTTCGCTATTCACCATCAGGCGAACTACTTGCCATTGCGACAACCTCTGATATCCAAATTTGGAATTCGGGGACGAGGGAATGCAAAGCAACCTTCAAGGATCACATGCACAACGTCTACGTAGGAACCAGTTTGCCACTCACCTGGAAGCCCGATGGCACAGGGCTCCTCTCAGGTGGCTGTAGACCGGATCCAACCATACGGGAATGGGATCTATCTACCCCTGGGCAGCAGGTCGGTGATCCTTGGAAAGGCCATCGTCACGACATCAACGCCATTGCCATGAACTCCGATGGTACGCTGGTCGCCTCCGCGTCTACAGACCATGAGGTTCGCCTCTGGCGGCTCTGGGATCGAAAAACCATCGCTATATTCCGACACTCCAGCCAGGTGCACTGTGTTACATTCACTGCAGATGGCAAACGCATCCTCAGTGGAGGTGACGACAAGAAGGTCTCAGAGTGGTCAATACCCGAGCACGCTCTGTGTGATGTTAAGGCATGTGATTATCCTTGATCTATGACTTAATGTGACCTTCTCCATGCAGATCCTCGCTATAAACCCATGCATGAAAAGGGAATTGTCTGCAGCTGAAGAACAGCTAACAAGAGAGATCGATGCTGATGCCAACAACTACAACTCGTACGCCAATCGCTCATTTGTCATGGCGCGAAAGCATGACTGGGCCCGTGCGCTTGATGATGCTTCCAAGGTTAGACTGACTGACCTATATTTGCTCGCATAACGAAAGTTTATTTGGGTCATGACACAGTCCCTCAGTATTCAACCCTCGCTGACAGGCTATATCTCCAAGGGCATTGCCCTCGGTGGGAAAAAGCGGGTTTGGGACGCGATCAGAGCATTTGATCTCGCGTCTATGTTCACAAATGGAGATTTGAATGCCAATCATCTCCTTCTCTTGATCAAGGTAGGGTTAATGATTCTTACATACTCCATGCTCCATTGTTGTTTTCAGGCTGTCGCACTGTTCAATGCAGATCAACATAATGAGGCACTTCTGCGCGTTCAAGAACTGGCTAAAGCTTGTCCCAGTGCCGACACTCGTGCGTGTTTGATTGTGGAAGTGAGTAAAATGCTCCATCAAGCCCAGGCCTGCGCATTGGCACTGATTTTTTGGAACTTTGCACACCAGGCATATCTGTATCTTCGGCTCGGAATCCATGCATCAGATAATGCGCGTCACGATAAAGCTGCTGACCACTTCACTGCTGCTATCAACGCTAGCGGTTCCTCAACTAAATTCGCCATCTATTCCAAATATGATGACTTTGTCATGGTGCGTTGATATGACACAACGGAAAACATTTTTCATGATCAATTGCATACTTTGTACAGCTCTTCGGGTGGGACCTCCAGACCTTGTGGCAGACTGCAAACCAAAAACGGTGTTTCTCACTCCTTCAGGCAAATAAACTCGAACAAGCCCTCGAGGCACACCAATACATGATCGACAACGGTGATGAGAGCACAAAGGCCAATTGCCTTTATTGGTCCACTGGCAAGTTTTCTGTAACGTCAATCAGGCTACAATCCTCACCCCCATTCCGCACAGCTTTCAAGCGCCAGTGTGGCGACCGCTATGCTTATAGCGGAGACACCGCATTCACAGCGAGAAATTATGACGATGCTATTTGCCTATATTCGGCGGCAATCGATCTGGGCGCCGTAAGCGATCCCATCTTGGCAAAGCGGAGTGAGGCTTTGTTGGAAAAAATGCGATGGGAAGATGCGCTTCTCGATGCACAAACAGTGCGGAGGCATTTGTTGTATTGCGATCAAACACTCATTTTTGTGATACATAGGTTATCGAACTCAACCCTTCGTCGTATATTGGATACAAGTTGAAGTATGCAGCGCTTCGCGGCTTAAAACGTTTTAGTGAAGCCTATCGATGCCTTCGAAACCATGGGCACCACTTCTGGACCGGAAATACGAAGTAAGTCCCAAATGACCTAGCTATCAACAAGTCTGACTCTTTCTCCAGAGTTGCACCAAAATTATCTTGGTCAATCGGAAGCAAAAAAAGCCATTCGAATGGTTATTAACGATCAATTAGAAAACGCGCCGCTTCGTCTAATCAACACCACCACTGGGGTCTTATGTGATCGAGGTGTGCAGATAGACATCTTCAGCGCGAGTCCGGAGTACATGGAACTCTTGTTATCCACAATGGAACGTGCAGAACATCGAATGGAGCACATCAAAGAAGTGGTAGAGCATTACTTCCGTTGTGTCACGCTATCGCATAGGTGGGAAGGGAAAGAGCAGACACTGCGCGAAATCCTGGACAAGACCGTATACAGTCTTGATCCAGTTGGAACTGTTATGAAGTTGTGGAAGTTCTGCGAAGTCGTTCGTGATGCGGGGTATCACTGGGCGTGGATGGACACGTGCTGCATCGACAAGCAGAACAATGTGGAACTTGAAGAATCACTCAATTCCATGTTTATCTGGTATCACCACTCAGCACTTACGATCGTGTACCTGTCGGATGTCCACGAGTCTGGCGCATTGGAAAAGAGTGATTGGAACAGGCGGGGATGGACGGTTCAAGAATTACTGGCTCCCAGAGTCATTCTTTTTTATCAGAAGGATTGGACACCATATCTTGGCGACCACTCTCTCAACCATAAAAAGTCCGCCGCTATCATGCAGGAGTTAGAGGCTGCGACAGGCATAGATCAAGCCTCCCTCACCAACTTCCATCCAAGCATGACAAACGCCCGAGAGAAACTCAAATGGGCGTCGACGCGTACCACTACGCGGAAGGAAGACATTGCATACTCACTGTTTGGTATCTTCGGCGCCCGCCTATCTGTCCATTATGGCGAGAAAGAGCAATACGCGCTCGGGAGACTCTTACAGGAGATCGTGGCTGAGTCGGGTGACATTACTGCCCTTGACTGGGTCGGAAAATCATCGAAGTTCAATAGTTGTCTGCCAGCTGACATCACCTCATACGAATACTCGCCATACAAGCCACCACATCTTTCTGAAGATGAAATTCAGACATCGGTTTCGTCACTGCGAGATGTCGTGTCTGCAGATGCCGCTTCGGAGCTTTATACCCTGCTTAGCAAACAGCCCCCTCCTCGTTTCGCGTACCGCCGACTGCATCTACCCTGCATGGTATTCCGTGTCACAGACATCAGACAGAGCCACGCTCGTGATGAACAGTCATATTTCACATATGAAGTCAAGGCAAATGGGCTACGTGATCTCTCAATAAAAACGAAGGAGAAGCTCAAGGAGTTTTGGCCGGAACGACACATTCGGACGGAGGTATTCCTTGTCCGCCCGTGGAACCGTGATCTCCTCAGGCTACCTGCGTTGGCAGAAGAAACGCAGAGCGTTGAGGACGCATCCGATCCCCAGTCTGCATTGCCAGATCTGTCCGGCGGGTTTCCTGGAGAAAAAGGAACGATTGATCTGGATTCTTACACACAAGCGTTGCGATTGATCGTTCGCCTTCAGCAGCAATTCAATGCCTTGTTGCTATACGAGCAGCAGATTGGAGAATATAAGAGGACTGCATCGGATCGCGATATCATTGCGCACGTTACAGAAATGCAGAACATGATGGACGTGAGAACACTAGAGATATTGTAGATTCTGAAGGACAGATCACCTTCAAGTTGACAGTGCATGTACACTGACGTATTTCTCGTATCGTATTCTAGCTCACGACATGTCTATATCATATGTGCATCATTGACAGCAATGAATGCACCTATCAGGATTATCTTCATTTAGTGCGCCAACGTTAACTTATGTAAAGTATGGTCGTTGGCATTCAAATACATTTTCATCCCATAGCGGCGCTAGGTCGCGCCAGAACCCCGACTCCGCATAAAGACATCAAGATATGATTCACGGATAAAACGTAGTATAACATGCGACATGGTCTCGAGTCAATGCCAATAAAACATCAAGAAAAACAATTACTCGAAGCTACTCGATCATAGTATACTCGAGCTCATCCTCTTCGACTGCAGCGGCGGTAAAGGAATCCTTTTTAGTGGGCGATTGGCCAGCTGCCTCGTCCGCAGCCTTTCTTTTCCCCTTTCCAGCCTTGAGCGTCTCCACGAACACGGGCTGTGTGTACTTAGCGCAAGGTAGAAGCTGCATGTGTTGCAACATGAGCTGGTATATACGAGACCCGTTGACATCGCGAGGGTTATCCCTACGCGGTTTGATGGTCCATCTATAAAATGTCAGGACGTCAAACACGAAAAATAACAAAGGACACACAATTTTAAGATGTCGCAAAATGGATAGATGAGAAACGCACTCAATCAGGACATTATCCAACAGGGTGAATAGCGTTTGCTCTTGATATTCTTCGCTGTAGTAGAACCATCTCGGACAGACATCTAGTCTCGAAGGCATGCACTTCTCAACAGAGAGAGCTTCGCGAGAGGAAAGCTTGCGCAAGACAACGCAATGACAGTATCCTGCATCAGCAAATTCACTCGGCAACATGGACAACGATACTTGCTGCTGACATACGGTGATACAAACACCATCGTAAGAAACACAACCACGAAAGTTCAACGAGCGGCACTTTGAGCAACACGAAGGATGACTTTTAAGCGAAGTGTTCAACCAAGTGCAAAAATTTTCGGATGTTTCAAAAACGCAAGATGATATTGTGGATAATAGAGGGCATCATAATAACGAGGATAGTGCTTGACATCATGGGGCTCATTGAAAGGAGGACAGTGTCCTTCATCGAGAACGTGAGCCAGACGGCAGGGCGACTTTGTAAGAAAAACCCTAAACATCCTTGAGCGATACGAAACAGCGAGTCAAGATGAAAATAAACTTACATTATGACGCCTGTTCGCGCTCAGTCAATGACTACCGTAGGAATGGAACGAAAGAATGTCCGCTAGTGCTAACAAATTTTTTCCCACTGACTAAGCTAACTCGAATACTCCCACGGGTGCGTTTGCAGAGGATTGATTATTTGCGTCTGACAGAACCCACTTCCACTAAAGTGGAGTCGGGGAATGATTCGCCGTGCGTGCCTTCTTCCTGGACACACGTCAGCGCAATACTGTATTAGCGCTGAGCGAAATGCTCAAACTCACAAAATGTTTGCATCTTTGGTGCCAACTCATTAAAGAAAAGGTTTTGCTTGTAAATTCCAGATACTTGGAGTGTGATTTTTGTTTTCGTGATTTGCTATATTTTTCTAAATAGTATTTCCTGACTATTGCATTGCCGCGGTGTATGCGCGAGGAGTGGTATACATGGCAATCCGGCTTATTGTACAATGAATGGTCTCGTTAAATAAAAGCATTCGCTTGTGGATCCTAAATACGAGTCTCTCAATAATTCTGTGCCTTCTTCCTGGACACACGTTAGCGAAAGTATCAGTGCTGAGAGAAATACTCAAGCTCACAAAATGTTTGTATCTCTGGTCCCGACTCATTAGAGGAAATCCTTCGCTTGTAGATTCCAGATACGAGCATACTCTCCCCCTTTCTTCATTAGTTCATCGTGCGTGCCTTGTTCCTGGAGGGATCCGTCCATGTACCTGCAAGCCATGTCAGCACGAGCATTGGCATTCAATATTCAAGAAAGAAAGACCAAAACTCACAAAATGAGATCTGCATGTCGGGTAAGTTTCGCGAACCGGTGAGTGGAGAATATCAAGGTCTTGCTGCCCCTCAACTTTTGCAGGCGCTCGAAGAGAGCTGATTCAGGTAGTAACCAGATCAATAGTCAAACTTGGCTTAGAGACAGAGTAGCGTACTATGTTCGGCTGTAGGGTCTAGGGAGGCACTCGGCTCGTCGAATAACAGCATGCCAGTGGAAGGCTCTGTCTCAGTAGGTAATGAGCGCATCAATGTGCGGGAGCTAGTCAAGCAATTAGCACTGGCATCCGAGAGGTCAAGAGGTGTTCGCGTACACTGCGAGCCGCTGCATCTGCCCGCCACTGAGAGATATATAGGAGTTGTTACGAAAATTCCCAACGCGATGCACAAGGGACAAGTCATCGAGGCACTCCGAGTCGAGCGGCATAAAGGGTCCAATGTTATTATAGTAGTTGTCACGGTATTGTACGTGATCATCGATCCAGGTGTCAAATCCATCAGGCAGGTCGTCGATGAATTCTTCTGCGCCGCCGAGACGGGCAGCTTCATGGATCTTCTCGTCATCATTTGCGAACGCGGGGTTGCCAAATCCGATGTTCTCACGTATCTACGTGTGCATGACTGAGTACATTGCTTATAGGGTACTTCTGCAGGAACGACGCTTACGGAGACTGGGAAGTGGCTGTAGTCCTGGAAGAGGATAGACATGGCGTCCCACAGGTCAGCTAATTTGAGGGTTTTGATGTCCTGGTCGTTGATGAGGATGGTACCGTCTGTCGGGTCATAGAGACGGGAGATCAGTTTCAAGATCGTACTTTTTCCAGAGCCGTTCACTCCCATAATGACCTGTGATCACGGTCAGAGAGGAGCGCCGCGAAAGGAGTAGGACTCACGCAGAGTTGACCAGCTTCGACCTTGAACGAAACATTCCGAAAAGCACACTTCTCGCTATCAGGGTACTGAAATGTCACATTCCTGGTATACATGTTTCAGAAACGGCTACATGAAGTCACCAATAATCATGGTACCTGAACTCGATAGAAATGCCACTCCTGAGAGACTGCTTGTCCTCGGGGAATGGTTTTGTGCCATCGACTACCGTCGCTCCGCACCTTATCTACTATGTCATACATGGCGCGTATAGAAGGAATTTTCCCTGCAAGAGAGGAATGCTGCCTGAAGGGCGACTCGGGGAAGGGTGAGGGTGTGAAAGAAGCTTGATACATCAGTATGAGCGACACAAAATAGAGGGGTGCGCTCATTGGTTCTTGCATGACGCGCAGAGCGAAGAGGATCTGGTTGACTTGGTCAGCTTCCTCCACTCCTGGGTCGATTCCGAGTACCTGAGGTAACATGTGTATCATTTCTCTCAAGATGGATGCCACGTTCAGACAAGAATGTATTTGTTCCACTTCTGAAAAATCAACTGCATCATCGCCAATGCGCCGGGAGGATTCGCAGAATTCTGGTCTCAAGATTGTCAAACTAAGGTTGCCCTGTAAGGTGCATCGACGTACGTGCAGCGATACATTCGCCGAGGTTTCCTCCAACAAGCTCCTTGCGGCATCTATGGTCGACAACGAGCCGCTCTAGGGCCCTCATACGAGAGAAATCTTTGTTGGTAGTTTTTGCAGCTCGTACTTTTGCAGCTCAGACAGATGCGGACACCATCAACTGTTAACTCACCTAAGGGTCTGACTGTTACGGTCTGTGTGCCATCCCAGTTAAGTATAGATTGGGAAAAGCTGAGAATTACAACAATTATAACATCCTGTTGCTCCCGCAGGACTGTCACTAGAACCAATAGCTGAGACAGTAGACGGACAATCGCCATTGTAATGTTTGTTGACATCTCGACAATTTCGCATTGTAAGGTAAGATGGGAATCGCCGAGCCTGCTATTTATTAGATCCAGGGTATGTGTTCTACCATGGGTGGGCACGTCAAGGCAAGCAAGGGAGTGAAATACGCGCTCAGTGTTAACTCGTCTGATGGAAGTGTCCGCGGGGCGAATTATACGACTTCGGGCATATTTGAGAAGGCGCATCGTGATTGTGCATGCAAGATATACTGCTGCAACGTCAACGAGCACCGACATGTCCACAGTACGCGTCTCCATTGCTGTCTCTACCTGGGTGAGAGATAAGCGGGCAGTGAGACTGGAAGCAAAGAAAGCCCTACAAGGCGGAGTAGTTGTCCAGTGTGCCTGCACAAAAGACTTATGAACGTACAGGAGTTGCTAACAGATATGCGACATACCATAGGGAAAAAGCGGGTATAAGGGCGCCCAGGAGTTCCACTACTAGGTATGCGGATATAAGAATGAAACATCGTGGAATGCTGTACATATCCTTCAACATGCGCACAACATAGGGCATATCCTGGAGCATCTGGGCATATGTCTCCAATATCGATAAGCTTGGTATGCGGATCTGGAGCCTCGAATGCCATGGTCTGCGTGCCTCGTAGATGTCCCATATACCGATGCGCGTGTGCTTGACGCGGCGAGCATCCTCAGGCTGGAGGTTCGATTGTGAGCGTGTTGACATTCGTCTCTCTTTCTCTGATGGTGGAAGAAAGTCCGAGACATGTTCTATTCGCATCACTTGAGTCAAGCGTTAGGCAAACCCCGAAATACACCAAACGTTTTCAGAGCGGCCCAATTTTTACTTTGAACGCATGTCACACTCGTATCTCCACCAATCAGAGCTCAAGTCATAATCAGCAGGTCGTAAGAGGTCGTAATAGCTTCGAACCAGAATACTACCAAGCGTTCATTTCACAATTTTGCTGATAGGCCACATCAGCCTGTTTCGAGCGAGACTCCGGGCCACGTCGAGGATCCATCACGAAGATATCGGAGGTTGTGCGCTTGTAAGATGATCGTGATGCAGTGTTGTGTATGGTATATATGAAACCCAAGGGCTGCGCTGGACAAAATGGTGTTGATTATCACAGAAACCTGCGTGTAACAAAGATTCGAGTTCCAGGAACACCAAGAAAGGCAAAAAGTAAACGGTCCGTAGACCACTGTTTTTCTTCTGGAACTTGATGATCGGGCGAGATTTATCCTTGGCGAACGCCGAATCACAGTACTAGATCACCGTGACGGTTTCGATCGCGAATTTTCGCAGTGCAAGGCAGATCAATGATGTGCAGTCGTCGCGCGTGGGCCAGTGGCCAGGCTCTCAAGCCTCGAATTTT